AAATAAAAGCTCCTACAGTACGCACACGGAGCAAGCAAGACAGAGAGAAAAACTCGTAGCGTAGCAAAATACGCCAACCTCCCCAAGGAGACTGAAATGACACCACGTCACGAACGAAATCACTGCTACTTAAAAATCACGCACCTCCCGTCATGTGAACAACCCCGGCCCCGGCAAAGTCTGTAGCCCCGCAACCCAGCAGTAGCGCTCGAGACTCCTCCCTGCACAGCTGGTAGTCAGCTGCGGTCGTGGTGTCTTCGCAGCGGTGAGGGCTCGCCCAGCCTCCTTCGCTCCAAGCCCAGTGCACGACCTAACAAGATTGTAGGTGGACAACAAACGTTCACGGAATGAATAATGACTTGCAGCTCCAAACCTCGTGTGAAGAACGCTTTTGCTTGGGCGATGCAACAGAAGTAGAGCGATATTTTTCTTCAGTGTGGGAGCGAATTAAATTTGTGTTTCCGCGCTCGAACCGTGAACGAAAGCCGTGTGTGCAGGCAGGAATGCAATACCGCACCCCCGGCCGGCCACCCCCGAGTCACTTGACGTATACGGCCACAGCAGTACGGCATTGGCACGTCTTGACACACCTTACCTCCTTCAGGCCCTGTGAGGGTACATGAATCAAGTCACAGATAGATTCGGGCCAGTGAGGAGGGAGACTGAAACAGAGATCTGCTACCCCGCGTTCTCACCACAGGGTATATCAAGAAGGTGACCAGGACGGAGAGCTGGACGTAGGCGGCGATTTTTATCCGTTCTGCAACCGCCCCCGACACCACGGTTGCCGCCGTCGCTGCAAATGTGATACGCAGCAACGAACGAAGGTGGTGTTGACAATGACAGCAGTGTCAGACAACGGAACAACATAGAGTCAAGAGGAACACGACGCATGTGGCGTTTACACGACCGTTGCGGTAGTTCACGGCGCACAACAAGAACCCAACAGCGGTACAACACTGAAGAACGACAAGAGAAGAAGGAGGATCCCAATGGCACGGGCGGCGTACTTCAAATGGCGTGCGAGAGTAGCGGCCTCTTGCAACAACGTAGGTGGTGCGATAGTTTGTGCAGCTGGTGCGGGGGCGGTTGCTACCGGATGACATTTGTTGCGCCTGTAGCAACACTAAATATACGCTGCGCGCCGTGGTGAAGGAGAAAGGAGATACGCACCGGCAAAAGCCCACTGGAAAAACCAATGCGCGATTTCTACTCCCCGGCCATCGTCTTGATACGTGGCCTTGCCGCTGAAAGCGAAACTGTCTGTGCCGATGAAGCCCCCAACGTCCTTGCCGTAGGCAAACCCATGCCCCAGGGTCCACCAGCAAATTGCACTGTTGCGAGGAGTTGAAAGCAGTGGGAGGGTGATGCGTGCCGACAGATGAATCGATACGCGACGACTACTTGTGACGAACAAACACGTGGCGAATCAATAGGCTAGACTGCTGGTAGGCCATATCATCACGCACACCGTACTCAAGACTTATCCCTTCAGCAAAAACAACTTCACCATAACAAATTCAGTCTATGGAGCAGTAACACCGGTTCTCACAAGAAAAGCTACATGTATTTTCGAAATAGTCTTTTTCGTGGGTAGTCTGCTTCGCGAACGACTCCGAACCACCCGTTATCTTCGAGAAACGCTGCGGCTGTCATCACCTACCTGTTTTGGGAGGGCCTAGGTTTGATGTACGTCGCAAGATTCGCAAAATTTCGTGAAAGACTTCCCCCGAAATGCACTTTCGTCCGAATCTTACGGAGGAAGTGAGAGTCTTGGACAAGATCCGAACCTCGACTCCGCCACAACAGATAATAAGGTGAAAGCTGCAACCTTGTTGCAAGACCGAACATGTGGTTCGGAATCGTTCGCGAGGCAGACTGCCCAAAGGTCGAAAACAAAACCCAGCTAATGCTAAGAACTGCAAACAACCAAGTGCTGAATTCTTCCGAGACACGCAAACATTGCACGTGTTGCGCCCTACTCACCCCAATGCAGCATCTGTCAGGTTCTTGATCAGGACGGCCTGGCCAAAACATGTTACACAGAGAGTAGCACGTTAGAGAGTTTCTGGATCAAGTCTTCGACGTTTGTGCACCCTACGGAGGACTTTCCCAACCCCACAGGATCAGAGGCGAACTTAACCTTTCCGAAAGAAACGATTGACACCGCAAGACGAAGCACTTAATAATTCGTTTTCACTCTGGGTTGAACCCTATACACCCTAACCCTAAAAAAATACACCACCGATTGATGTGAGGTCAGTGCCCCGTGGATAGGGGGTAAGTTGCGTGCAACGGATATGTGCCAGGATAGGGCGGTACGATCGTGGTCGGACATGGAGAACACCAGTTTCCATCCGTTTCGATCAAGTGGTGTAAGCTCTGCTGGAAGCAGCAGGAACATACGTCATGTCGTATTGAGGGTGGCGGGGGTACCATCTTCGTTCGCGTCCGCTTTGTCGCACGCTTGCTGACTCTTACGTCGACGAGAATTGACAACTGGTCCGACGGAATTTTTCGCGCTTGGCATACCCTCAGCACACGAAATCCGCGAGAAGACCATATCACCACAGCGTGCTCCCTCTGTGAAGGTCGGATCGCCACGAAACCTGGAAGGCTGTACGCACCACACCTGTAGGCTTCCTATTGTGACAGCTGTGGGATCTGTTTGGAGATTAATCCGCGGCTGTAGACGGAAACAGGGTTCATCCGTGCGCTAAATCTCCACCTAGATTCTTGCTTTAGCTCAAAGTAGATTGACAAATATTTCTCGGCCCACATAGACCCCACAGCCATTACAACACGTGTCAAAGAAGCCTACAGATGTGGTGCGTCCAGCCTTCAAGGTTTCGTGGCGATTAGACCACCAGGGAGCGAGCACGCTAGCTGGTGCTGAGGTGAGAGGTCTACCTTTGGGAGATTTCGTGCATGCGTACGGAATGTGAAACGAACCGTCCGGCCAATTCTCGTTGACCATACGTATGCAAAACAGTCAGCATTACGGACGGTCCGCTGGGCATGCCGGTGTCGGGTATCCAGCGTGATTTAAGTTACATGGTCGCCAACACGCAGTCCTTCCAGACAGATATGTAGGGGTGACCACCAAACAAAATCCCACAATAACCAACTACTTGCGGTCGAGCAGTAATTACCGAGAAGGAAGAAACCATTACGGTATCACACATATTATCCATATGCGCAGTACAATGGGTGGAGCCTATGCACGGATACATCATCCTATCGAACGCCTGGAGCCCTCAACTCTGGGTGAGCGGAGAGTCCGGAGTGTGGTGGCTATGACCTGCCACCGGAGGCTGGCTATTTCCTTTGGTGCGATGTGGCGAGGAATGCTAAGCGTGACCGAGCGAACTCATTCAAGCTGCACAGCTGTAGGGTGGTGCGGAGAGTGGGCGAGCCTTCGTGCTTCGTGGACTCATTTTCCCAGCCTCTCAAAGTTTCTTCAAACATTCGCATCTCTTTGGGAATCAGGAAAGTACCAAACCCTTGGGCATGATGCAACATCACGGATCCCTCAGATCCGTACCCTTCCTTCATAGGTCGGTGTATCTGTGCTTCCTGAAGTCTCCACATCCCGACCTCCACAGCAATGCGGGTAATTAAGTCTACGTCATCACGGCGAACAGCCAAAAGAGTGTCAACTTCAATCGACAGGCGTATCACATATTCGCCAAAGCTGGCGAGGTTCTTGCACTCGCCAGTTCAACAATTTCTGGGTTGTGATTGGAGGCAGACACGAAACCAAACCCACAGCGGGTTTCCAGCCCTCACGCTACACCACGGAGCTAGGCCTCACTAGGCCTAACCCGCCGCTCAACCCTAACCCTAACCCTTACGCACACGCACACCCCAAGCTAGGTTGTTGTGCAGTGGGTAGGCCTAGGTCGCTGTACCGAACTACTGGAGCGTGAGAATCTCGCCAGCTCCGGCGTATATACGCCTCGTCCAACTTCAATGGGCTGAAACACACGCCCAAGGGAAAAACTTAACACTCAACATAGACCTACAGCAGTAGTCTTTCTGTGTTTGTATCTATTTTTCCTCATAGACCTTCGGCACGGCGTCGCCACAATATAACAACCCATTTTTGTCCAGCATGTCTCCGCAAAGCCTACTGACTGCCGTTTCCCAAGGTCTCGTGTTCTGGTTGAGTTTGTGGTTCTTCTGCAAGAAAAAGAAGCATGAAGCGACTCGCAGCAGCATTCCTACCGGAACAGCTGCCGCCGCTCTCGGTGCTGCCGCGTTACATGTTTCAACACTAACCTTGGTGTTCTTGGGAGAGATGGAGCCCACCTCCAGCATGCTGAATCCCACTTGCATCACTGAGGCATCAGTTACGGCGTCGCCGAAGCGCCAACGCATCATTCGACAGCAGGTTATCCAATTTGCAAGCACGCGGTTGCATGGGGAGGTGGTTGCCACATGCAGAGCAGTCAGCGCCTTGACGGAAGCAATAGGAAGGCTAGCAATGCACAGCACGCCGTCTGCAAGTGGTGTGTGGCGTCCTAGTCTCACCGCCGAGTTATAGGCAGCACTAAACAGCAGTCTACCGCCGGACTACACGGCGCATGTACTGCATTCCGTCTTAGACGAAAGTTTAAGTTTCGAGTTCGGACAACACATCGCACTCATCACATAGTCCGCCGCAGCAGTTTTTAATAGGTGAGGCAGTAAACAAAAGGAACAAACTTTTCCGCAAACCAGACATGACAATAAGCACGTCGCCACAATGGACCACCGCCCTTCCGCCGAAACCCAGAGCTACAGCAGAAGGCAATGTATGCATACGTATGTGTGCAAAGTACACAGGCTCAACACACCAGCTGCCGTTCTCTTGGTTTGGTTTGGTTTGTTGGGTTGTTGGATTAGACTACACTGCTTCCGGACTGGCAGCACGAACACGGGTCTAAAGAGGTTGGGAGACATGAAGGTGACGAGGATGACGAACAAAGAAAACGGTGTGAAGCCACTGGCGCAGTGCCGTGTCTCTACCAAGAGACATTCATCTCATGTTCTCGTCTTTCCTCACTGCAGGCTCTCTTCCAGCACACCTTTGGAGCGCCTTACAAACAACCTGTCACATTTTGTCACTTTTCTCAAGAGAAAAGACATTTGCATTACACGTTTTGCCACTCACAGAACACGAGAATGCCACACCAGATGATCCAGGCTGTGTCCAAGTCCTGGGCACTCGCAAACCCGTCCGCGCGGCTTTCCAGATACTCGAGACGGTCCTCGAGTTCAGCGGCAGTCGACATGTTGAGGCGGGGTGTTGTGGTGTGGTTGCGCGAGAGTCGACAGGCTCAAAAAGTCAACACAACGTGAAGCCCCCGCGAGATACGTAGATGGTGTTGCGGCGGGGCGCGCGTTATCGGCCCGCCCGCGAGACTCGGTCCTTAACGAGAGGGCTCGGGGGGCTCTCCTCCCCTCGCACCCTCGTTGTAGAGAGAGAGCGGAAAGTTGTCGCGTTTGTCCACTTCGGGTTGGTGTGTCGACAGTCGACAGCAGATCGGGTAGAGAGATGTGGAGCGAGAACATACTAGAAACTAGAATAAGCTTCCCCGCGCCACGTGCAATTTCAAAGAGGCAAAGAAGAGGTTCTAAGTTCTAAAAGAGAGGTTCTCTATTTCACCGACATGCCGACGAGAGAAGTTTCAACGTTGAATTCACGGCGTATTGGTGGATGCACCACCTGTGTTTCTAAGCGTTTCCCGACAACACTACTTGTGATTCTACGATTCCTCGAGCAGCATACAGCGACATTTCGCCCTTTTGTCCGTTGTCTAGTTGTGGGGGGGGGGCGGGTTTTGAATCGTGAATGCATGATGATCTTGATCGTGATGCCACCGGGCTACTTGCCGAGCTACTCAGCTGCCGAGCTGCCGAGCTGCCGAGCTGGCTAGAAAAGGTTTAGAAAAGTTCTTGAGGCGTATTCGTCGGGTTCTCTCGCGCGGCTCCGCGCTCCGCTCGTCCGCTCGTCCGCTCCGCTTGTTATCTTGCTCCTTCCTCTCTCTCACCTGCTGTATTGGGTATTGGGTGTGTGTACGTGCTTACACACATGTATCTGAGCTGTGCGTTGCTGATATAGGAAGGATAACGGCTATGGCAGGATCTGCGCAAGAAGAGTACGTGAAGACCCGCGATGGCGACATTGTCTTCAAGAAAGCTCACGTCCACGGCTTGCACAACCTATTTCTCATGGGAAGGGTAAGACATCAACTTGATTTGATGCGACGTTTGCATGTACACACCTCGTCCCCGCACAGGCGTTCGTTATATATGTACCATGAGCTGCAAATGACAGCAGTGAACTGTAGATATTGGTGTACCACCCTCCACCGCTACCAAATTTAGCAGCAGTTTGGGGCCGCAATGTTGCCCCCCAACAGTCTGGATCTCGGTCTACTGCTGTACATGTACGGCAGTAGTCTAGCCATCGGACCATCGGACAGCGTGAATGTAGCGTGTTTCAGGGCTACCATGAGACCTATGCATATCATGAGACCGAAGCGGTGGGGGTACATATCGTGTGCACGCCACCGGTGGGGCATCAAGCCTTATTCACCCTCACCACCACCGAGAAGAAACACGGACAACGAAGGTAAAAGAAGTACCATGTAGTCTTGTACAGAACGGCGGATGCAATCATAATCATCGCACACACAGCACAGCGGTGGAAGCGAGGACAAACAGCGTAGGGAGGGGACAACCCACAAAGAGCAAAGATCCCTCCGCCCCAAACCCGTGAAACATAAACTGGTACGTCTTGTTGCTCATGGTTTCTGTGCGCTACCTTGTAGCAGCGCACCCCATCGCACCCGCGCGCCCGCTCATTTGAGACAAAGCTGGAGTATGTGTGTACCAGAACGACTATTCTGCGGCATGGATCTGATGCGGTATTGCGGAGGCGTGTTTCCAAGCTGTAGCTGGTGATAAGTGCAGCTTGACCATCTCTGTGTGGCACATTGCAATCAATCAATCTGTCTTGTTCATCTGCATATCTAACCTACACAGCACTTCTCGAATTGCTTGCTCGCGGTACTTCATGTACACAAACCGACATCGCGGTTGAGTGCATTGGTCGTTCAAACACCCACGAAGGCTGCCGCTCATAGCCCCCCTGTTGGGGGTTGGGGGTATTTTAATCACGGATGGTTTCGTTCCCAATCCGATTTGTCTGCGTTGACGAAATTCCATCTGCTCTTCATCAGAGCATCATCATGCCAGGGGTAATCATCCGCGGAGAACTACAGGAGATCCGAATAGGTCGGTACTGCGTCGTTGGCGAAGGCACCGTCATCCGACCAGCTTACAGGTAAGCAGGAATACGTGTACCCTGGCTCGTTATTAAGTAGGTCTTTTCGATGGAGAAACTCTTCCAACAGCGTGGCGACTTGATCAAATACCTCCGGTTTTCACAGCACAATGCGCCGCCAGCAAGTCAGCTACTCGCCGCGAGGGTAGCTTGATCTACTACTGTCTAGGGTGGGCCCCTCACGGTCCTCTGATCAGCACGATGCGCTTGCCAATTTATGACCCTGAACCATTTACAATGGGTTGCTGGATTATTTTCCAGCAGCACGAGCTGGGTTGGGAGGGCCGCATGCCTTACTGATCGTGTAGGGTGTTGGCGCTGGCCTCCACCAACGGTGCTTTCCGAGCTACGCGATCCCTTGCACGTTTGCGTCGTTTGTTTACTGTTGGCGCCCGGTGTGTGTTCCTCCCTCCGGTCGAGAACCCGCTCATACCTTCGTTTTCCGAAGACTGTCAACCAAATAACGTGTTGGTTCTTCTTGCTGACAGGATTGAACAAGAGGAGTCTAACCTCAAGTGTCGCTTCACCCCGCTATCTGTGGGTAGCCACACCTATATCGGCAAGTCCTGCGTCGTAGAATCGGCTGGCATTGGGTGCAACGTGCGGATCGAGGATGGATGCGTTTTGGTGAGGGTAGAAGGTTGATGTTGCCTCTTTTCCTGTAGGAGCTGCAACCCTACTGTTGTAGTCCAAAGCTTGAAACATGATGCTTGCTGCAATGCTTGTTTTGATGGATAGAAAGCCACGACACTTCTGCTGACCAGAGTCAGAACCGGCATGAATCTGGCCGGTTTTTGCGCAACACGTGCTTGCTGAAAAGGTCTTCTGGGCATAATGTGTTGCTGGTCGTGTATTAGGGCAGGCGGTGCTATTCTTATGGAAGGTCGAGGTGGTATTATGCACGATTACTTACACACGGTTCTTTGATGCCCCCAACGCTCGAGCGCTTTCAGGAAAACTCGGTCCGAGATATTTGTGGTCCCTGTTCGCCCATTCTCGGACTATGCAACAGCAGACAGGTCGCAATTATTTTCTTGGCTACAGTACACAGCAGTGCTGCAGTACGGGTGCATGACCAAGGCGGTGCCCTCCTAACGTCATGTGGCCGCGCCGCTCTGCCTTTGTCCGTGCCATTTCGGTCCCCGGCAGGGACGGAATAGTTTTGTTAGGGACAACTGCCATCTGTTGCCGGGGACGGTTCTTCCTGAAGGGGCCGTGGTCCCCCCCTTTACTGTGGTGAGAGAAGTTGCAGCATTCCCCGGCTATCTTCATCTTGTGGAAGTGATCCCGTGTCCCATACCGCAACCACGGTCCCACACATTCCGTGCTTTCCTCCGCGCCTTACCTTCCATGGCACGCCCCCACACGCGTATGCATGCACGTTCTTGCTGTTCAGGCTCAAACCGTTCCTCCTCGTTGCCTATCTCTCCCCCTCTTCCTTTGTGCGTCGGTCGACCCCAATTGCCCCAGCTCCAGGGCTGCCCGGCGAGGATGGTGTCAGTGCTACATGAGAGCACGCCGTCGGTGTGGACGGAGGACGCCGTGAACTTCTACGAAACTTTCGAGCCGAGCGCTGTTGTGACACCCAAATGACCCTTGCCTGTGGCCCGTATCTCCCCCAAACTTTTTTGAACGCACGCCCACAATGCCAATTCCAGCTCTTTCTCGTGGCTATGTATGTGTGTGACGTTGCAGTGCGAGCTCTGTCTACGACGCTGTTGTTTGATCTGCAGCCTCCATGCCGATGTCTGTTCGCGAAACATGCCGAACAATTGTTTATGTTCACCTTTAGTATCACAATCTCTGCCTAGAAACTTGCCCGGTCTGTTCAGTGTCCACCGCAGTTCATGTGGCCATGGATTTTGTTTGACGGGAAGCGAGTTCACTCTGTGTGTAGATCTTTCTTCTGGTGATTTCCTGCCCGATTCGGTCTCACGTTCTTTTACTTTCCCGTAGAGAGTGATTTACTCGGCTGTCGGTGTTTTAGCTGTAGCTGTACTGGTGATCAAGTCCAAAATGTCAAACACCTACTGAATCTGAAGATGGCTCTACAATGGCTGCCGCCGTTGCTGCACACATGCCACAGCAGTAAGAAGGAGAATGGACTAGGCCCACAGACCGCCAGCTTCCCCTACTAAGCAGTCCCCCCATCATATTTTTTGGCCGGTGAGCCTCTTGAGTGCTGCATGGTTGAGGCGTGCTCATTCCTCGGGGAAATGCGTAAGCATTCCTGCGCAGATTCGTGTTACAGCTGCCTTTTCTTTCCAGGACGTCTACTTCGAGCCAGATAGTCGTTCTAGGCGTACGATATATATACAACATTATCGGGTACGTTAAGTCTAAATCAACACAATCCAAACACACAACTCCAGCCACGGTAGCTCTGACCGATGTTGATCGAACACGCACGCACGCATTTTGACACCGGTCGCAGATGAAGGCAACACAATGGAACATACTTTTCTGGACAACGGAGCTCACTGAGTAGGGTCGAGTGTTTCCGCGCCCGATTGCTCTCCCTCAAACATAGACCAACAAAAACAAAACGAACCACAAAGACTGCTTCTACCCGAGACGCCTCAACCACTCACTGCCGCGTATCATGTCAAGGATCCGCTCCCTCGACGCCGCATACTGATGACGTGTTTCAGGCTCTTCACTCCACCCAGATCCGTCGAGTGGCAGCACCTCTCCCTGCCTTCCTACACCTCTCCCTTAACGATGCAAGACTCTATGAGCCAGCAATTACTCCGGGCGTCCAGTGTGAGGTAGACGCTCACGGAGTGCCAAGCGCCAGTCATTCTGCCGAGAGACCAGCGCCAATGACAACTGTGTTAGTCTCCGCGCTTGTTCTCCTGCTACAGTAGTGGTGGCTACATGATCCTAGTCTCGCCAGGCGTAACCGTCTGACGATGAGGGAAACAAACGTACTATTGGCTGGCCAGCATTCAGCGCAACGAGCGAGAGCACGAGAATGCTTCGGGGAGGGTGGTCTGGTGTAAAAATGTGCAAGGACTCACGTGTCTCTGAGCTTGACAGGCTGGAAGGCCTTGTTTTGCTTCGCCCCTCCCGACACCGTCAGCGGTCTGGATCAAATTAGGTCGCGAGCAGTCACAAGAGGTACACATGGGGAACTGAGGGATGAACACACGTGCAAGGGTGGTTGGGGGTGGTTTCATGTTACGAGACATGCGAAGCGCAATGTTACACACACATAGAATCACGTGGCACGACTTAGAAACACACGCTTGGTGCAGAGAAGGAGCATGGCGAAGGCGCTTATGTAGAGGTGCCAGCATCCGTGGTACTACTGCGAACAACGTTCGAAGACCCACCTCGGGAATGCCATGGTATTCCAGTGCATGAAGGCACGGTTTCGATTCTCCGCCAGATATCGGGCCACGCCCGACATTTCGACCCCGTGCATCGCGCTAGACGGGGCAAGGAATCTGATGAAAACCTGCACAACAATTAGCGCATTTCTGTCAGCACCGGATCGCGTCGAGACGACCTTGGCTCTTCTTGAGGTCGACGAGGAGTTGCATGGGCATGGAACAGGCAACCTTCGTTTGCCAGAAACCTATTGAAAGCTGAGCTGAAGCACTACAGGAGCAGTGTGGTCCCTACATGTGGCCGGTGGCCCTGTAAGGCCGGTGAAAATCGCGTGACATGGATGGAAGATTCAAGCTGTTTCTTACTCTGAATAGTGCCGGGTGCCCGGTACAAGGCCGCCCAAATGACTTGGCACTAGCTGTACGGCCTAACACGGGCACCATTACGGCGGTATTGAGTTAAAGAGGCGCCTCGATTGCGAAACTTGGCCGCTGCGAGGTTTCCAGGAGCGATAAGAAACGCCATCACCGACCTTTAGATCGTTGCACTACCGACGTTTGTAGTTCAACCTCACCTCGACGCCGTGGTTGTGGTAGGGTTGGTCGTTGTTCTTGAGGGCCTCGAGAACCGAAGTCACCACCTGTAAACGAGAAAAATCAACAAGGGATTTTCATGAAAATTCATCACTGGGTCGGCTCACTGCCGAACTCAGGGAGTGATTTTGGCAGAGTGTCGGGGAATGACATTCAACTAACCTACAGCTTCGTAAATACGTCCGGACATTTCCGAGATACAGAGTATCGACATGTCCTCAAGTTGAGGCCCCACATCAAGAGTATTCGTCAAGCCCTTTTTTTGTACGGCATGTGCCTGCACAACTAACGAGGCATGAGTGGCAAGCAAGTCCCTTGTGACGTGGTTTTCTTGACGCGATTCGCCCGACCAAATGTCCTAAAGAGCAAAGTTCCGTTCTGTGCCATCCTACCGGCGCTACCCGCAAGTGCAAGTGTAGTACCTGTCACAGGTGGCAAGTGTAGGATAGCACGTACGTTCTCGAGACACGTCACTGCACAAAGGAAAACAGTCGGTCACGGCATGCTCTACCGAATCTAGAAACAGACACTGTCGCAGCGGAGCGGCAAATATGCTGGCATTAACATCAACCCAACGACGTACATGATTGGGGGAGTCTTGCACTGGGCAACACACGGGCGCCAAATAGCAGTACGCTACAGCAGTAGTGCGGAAGATACCGTGGTCCCACGTATGCACACATGCACACACTCCTTACCTCTCTTGGCGTGAGCTCCGAGGACGGCAAGAACGTAGCCGAGCTCGTCACCCCAGGCATCTGCTCCAGACCCGCATCGATAATCTTCTTCGCCTCCGCCTCCTTCGTAATGTTCCGTTTCTCCAGCTCCAGCCCCAGGTCCTGGGTACAGAGAGCACCGTCATGCCATGGCCAATGCGGACCATCCACCCCGCCATGTAAATACGTACGCAAATAACCGTCGATATGCTGAGATCCTATCGGCGGCCGCTTGTGGATCGACACCGCAAGCTTGCAATGACCAAAGCGGGCCGATGGCAAATAACCGTCGATACATAACTGAAATACGATCGGTAGCCGCATGCGGACCGAGAATCGGGTTTCGTCTGCCAAAGCTAATCGGACCGCATGCACAAATATCCTTAAAGGGCTGAAAACAGCAAAATCGCCACAAACACTTCAGTCGACTCCTGCGTCATTGAGAGTAAAAATGATCCGCTGGAAAAGAATACCTGGTGGCACCGTGGAACCACAGGTCCACGGCCGGATTCCCTCCGAACCGTGTCCTTACTTACACTGCTGCAGGACTGAAGCAGGTGGTAACTTCTCGCTGAAGTCACCCCTCTAACCTCGCGAGTGTGCCATCGAACAAGACGTGGCTACAAACCGACCTTGAGGCTTCGTCAGCGTTCGAGCCGATCGCTCGGCCTAGCATGTACGGAGTGGCACATGAATGCTTGAGACAGGGGCTACGCCCGAGAAGGCTTCTCCTGTACCAGGTAGCTACGTCTTTCCCGGAAGATTCAAGCAAGAAGAAGGGTGTTCATCGCGCTCTCCAGGTCATCGAGGCTCGTCGGAGGTTTGCGATCGGATACGGAACGGAAAAGCTACGGGGATTGGAATGAGCGACTGCTGTTGCCCTTTCGTGGGTCCCGAGAAAGAAGGGAGGGGCGTATACCTGCTCGAAACCAAAGTCGCGCCGTGCCCTAAGCTCGTCGTAGATAGCCTTGTCGATCTCGCTGCCGCTATCTTCGTCTTTGGCCGTTTCTTGGCTATCTTGCGGTTGCCCCTGCGCAGTCTTGCCCAAGCGTGCCGCGATCTGTTAAAAAAAATATCGCCCAAGCCAAGACGGATGAAGAACACGAAAACACAGGAAAAAGAAACGATCACCGGTCACAGCACAGCAGTTCGCAGCATCCGACTAAAACCATCCAGGCACGTAAGCCTGCAAGCGCCATCGTCAAGCGTCATCGTCATGCCCGCCCCACCTCGCTGTAAAACCCTTTCGTTAGCTCAAGCGTATCGTCTTCCTCCTCCGCGCCACCCCCTGCCTCGTTTGCTTTTAGGGAAAAGCCCGGTCCACCTGACCGACGCCGAATGAGGCTGCCGTGTCTGCCAGATCCCCGGCTCTCCCTCTTGTGCAAATCATTGGTGCTGGACAGTGTCTGCTGTGAACATCCCCTCCTGATGCGGAGAAAGCGGGCATCGAAACACATCAACGTCAAACGGCAAAGAGAGTTGCATCGGAATGGCAAATCTAAGGCCAACATTGCCCACGAATGACTGCTCTGTGTCTCGTTGTATTGCACTATTGGAAGGTGTAATACAAACCGCCCAAGACGCTCTTATGTGCCTCTGCTCATGGCCTTCGAGTGTCTTTATTAGCTGACTAACCCATGCAGTCGCTTTGAGTGCGGGGTATGTTGCCTTTTACATGGTGAAGAGCAGGAGCAGAGGAAGTTCAGCAATCTTTTGTTCCAACAAAAATGAAGTTGTGGGTGTGAATCATGAAGTTGCGTTGATAAACTAGAGACCCTCACCCTCCCGCTGCACGTCAACTTATACCTGAAACATGGCGATACGGCGATGAACCCATGACTCCATTGAACGCAGCAGCAGAGGAGGAGCAGCACATGCAAACCACCAGCAGCAAGATTTCCTTGCGGTGCCATGATCGTACACGCTTGCTTCAAAGTGGCACACGCTCTGCGGTTCTTTTGCACGCGTGGACAAGAGAGACGCCGGAGCACGCCACCGAGTTGTCTTCACCCACAGGGTGTCCAGTACTCTCTCACTCCTTTACTCTCTCTCCCTCTCCTTCTCCTGGTACGGCGGTACGACAGCAGTCCTTCCAATTGCATTGATCGTGCAACAAACCTGCCTGCCTGCCAGCTGCAACCTCGGACAAGGGGGCTCCGCGAATTAACGTACATGATGTGGGGTCCCTTACTCTGGGTACAAAGTCAGCAGCTGAGCGCCAGTGCAGTGCAGCTCTCCTCTCTGTCTCACCAACACACCAACCTATCCACCGTTGTAGGGCTCCACCTACCATGGCGAGCGTTCGCCAAAAGAAGAAAGGAATCCGTGCTGCTTCGAGCCCCCCTGTTGAGTCTTCTCTGCCTAGACCCAACGTAGCGCCGCCTCCCGCAGGCCTTGCTGCTGCACGCGAAAGGGCACGTTCTCCGACCTCCTCCGCAGCAGTAGCCGCTCCGCCCGCGGCTCCAGCTCGCACCGCAGTGGTGCAATCGGCGAGGACCAAAGGCAAACGCTCACCCTCGGGAGCTACGTCCTCGTCGAGCTCTCCAACCCACATGATAGGGGGAGCCCCAGGGACTAGGTATGATGATGTCTCAGTCTTGGATCAATAATACACGTGCAATACACCATTTTGTCCGCCCTCCGACGCCGGGTTGTTGCATTGTGTCATTTTGTTCCAATAGTCGTTTGCATAGCCTGTGTTTGCGACGACAAAAAATGATCCCACGACTATAGCGGGGGGCGGGGTAGTAGTTTGTGCCCATGGCCAAATGCGTCGTTCGTTCAACATGTGTTGTTCACAAGTTACGTCAAGTGCTCGACAGACTACAACACCTTGCGCCGAGGTATGCTACTCTACTGCTGTTGGCATCATGATGGCGAGCAACGTTAACGTTTGGACCTTGCAAGTCAGTCAGCAATGTCCTGCTACTGTAAAGTAGGAAGTCCAGCGTCTGCGTTGCTTGTGCGTCATTGTTGTGCACAACCAAGTGTGTGGAAAGGTAGTGGCAGCTGGGTGGTGGTACTCACAGAAAAGGCAGCACACATTCGTGGGAGTTTTCCCCCAAAACTGTTCTTTTCTTTGTCTTTTTCGACATGATGTCGTTTCCGCGAGCTCCATTCCGCGGGACGTTCCCAACATTGGAACTTCCCATATCGTCGTACAATGATGCACACTGGTGGGAGTCAAAACGACACCTCTTGACTCATAACATGTTTTTGGCAGCGTGTGACTGCTGTGGCACCCCGAGCTTGACAGTGATATGTATCTCGTCGAAGAAGCCTACAGCAGTGAGGCGGCCTGCCGCAGTACTGATTGTATGTATGCATTGTAGCGATGTCGCGTCTCCTTCTTGTATGCGTAAGAGAGATGATCTGCCACTCTCTCCGTCCTTGTTTCCCTTCGGTCGCGACCTCTTTCTGTGCCTCGAACCATCGGCGCCGATTTATCTTAAGTTTGAGAGTACGACCAACACACAGCGGATTAAATTGCACTTCACTTCATTGTAGGTTGACCCCAACAACATCTGGTACCTACGTTGTTACCGCCGCACGAGGGCATTCGGCACCGCAACATCTTGTTTCAAGTTCCGTCTACTCCCCCAGCTTACCTAGCTATCAATCTCATTTTCCTGTTCTTTTTGTCGGTTGCGGGTTCCATCGCCAGACCGGTCTCAGGAGGCCAGTACAACGGAAGACCGGGTTCAGCAGGAGGAGCCGAGAAATCCCTCCGTGAGACCGTTCGCCAAGTGCTGCTCTCCGATGTCGTTCGCATGGACGGTGGCGGCAAAGGGGCGAGGGGGGCAGGCAGCGACGCCTGGAGAGTGATGGTGCTGGATGCCCGGGCAACCCGCGTCATCTCTTCCGTCGTGGGCATGTACGACATCATGGAGGGCCACGTCACAGTCGTCGAAGACTTGCACAAGGTGCTGTTGTGATGGCCGTGTAGGAAAAAGACGCCCACGCGTGGAGTACCTATCAGCTGCACTTGGCCAATGACATGCCTCATGGTCAGGTTCGCATTGATTTCAAAAATCTGGTAGAATACCTTGCCCACGTTTCTGTCCCACATAGTCTACCATGTCTTGGCGGTAGTCATGCGCCAGCCCCAATCTTGCGGCGCACGTCTTGTCAGGCCCGGCAGCCGTTTCGAGAGATGGAAGGCGTGTACCTCGTGGCGCCCACGGCGGAATCTGTGGAGGCGATAAAGCGCGACTTCAGTTCCCCGGCGGACGCTCTGTACTCCAAGGTGCACTTGTTCTTCTTGGAGAGGGTGCCGCCGGACCTGCTTCAGAGCATCAAGCAGTGCCCCACCCTCGTATCCCGACTGAAAACCTTCAAGGTGAGAGAGCTATTTGCAGAGCTCCTGTGTGGCGTCCCTCTGAGCGGTAAGGACACGTCACGTGCCTGTGTTGTTGCTGCATGATTGCTACTACTGCTGCCCCTTTACTCTCCAATTTCGGTCCGTATAGGTACGCCCAATTACTACATAACTCGCATTGGTCATTGCCATGTTCTCAGCGGCAAGGCGCTGTATGCGCGCCGTTTTTTTCTTGGTTTTGTGGCCTCCCGCTGACGGTTGGTTGTTTGCTTCCATGGCAACGCTTTTGTTTTGCGGATGCAGGAGATCAACATGGACTTCCTCGTGCCCGAGATGCAGTCGTACCACTTGGACATGGGCAGCCTGTCCGGGGCGGGGGAGGTAGAAGCGGCGGCGCACTTCCGAGAGCTGTACGGGGGCAGGGGACAGGCGAGTGCTCTCTCTCTCTCTCTCTCTCTCTCTCTCTCTCTCTCTCTCTCTCTCTCTCTCTACTCTCTATATATATATCTATATCTATCTCTCTCACTCTCTGTCTGTCTGTCCGTCCCACTCTCTCTCTGTATCTCTCTATTTCTCCCTCTCACTAAATATCATCTTGCTATGCATACACCTGTGTATGCGCGGTTTCTCATATGATATCAACGTTGTGGTAGGACTGCCCTTAGACCCATGCAGCCTGATATGCTGCCAGCAGGTGCCGTTTCGCGGCTTCGCCTTGTCCGGTCGGCCCCTCGCCGGTCACACGCAACACGAGGTGCCTGCGGTCGACGCTCTCTGTCCACCCTGAACCAAGCCGAAACATCCCATCTGTGCCTGTGGTGCTTGTCTTGTCTTGTCTCTCAGGGTCGTGTGATGGCGTCGATAGCGCAGAGGCTGGTGACACTGTGTGCAACGTTGGGGGAGTTCCCACACGTCAGGTTCGCCGCAGATGGCGGGGGCCGAACGGAGGGGGTGGCGAGAACGTTCCAGGTAACTTTTCGTGTTGTTTTGTTCTTGCGTTCGCATGCGTTTCTGCAGTGTTGCTGCCTGGCTGTTCTCCGTTGATACGGCCGATGCGCAGTATGCTCACAGCTGGGGTCTGTCGGCACGTTCTGTTTGTATTTTGCTTTTAAAAGGCGAGGCATTTTGCTGCTCTTTCTCGCTGTGACCTTGCCGTTGGGGGGTTGCGTGTGTACTTATTGCCTCGATCTGCTTATTTGAATTCCCTCCCACCCAACAGACAATGGGTATGGTGTAAACTTCGGACTCCGGGACACATTATTTGAAGGCAACAGGTCCCCCCCCTCCGCAAACAGCCCGAACCTGCGGGGCAAGAAGCATGATGTAGTCGGCCATGCTGTTGCTTTGTGGTGCTGGTAACTAGTACTTCGAGATTTCGAAAGCGTCATTTCGTACGTGTTCGTTTTTGGTGACTACCTCTGCCTGGAGTGCAGATAGGGCGGTAGGGAGTGTTACCCTCCCCGCCCAACTTTTTCTACCTTGTGTGTGTTGTGCTTTTGGACCCCCCCCCCCCCCCCTCTCACCCTGACATTTTTTTGGGAAAATAACGCAAGACACGAATGGTTCTCACCACACCTTGATCGCGTCATGATCTAACTCGAACGTATTGAAGGCGAACATGGAAGAGCTGGTGTCCAACTCACCGACTTGGACCTTCCGTGGACAGGACAGCAGGTGAGTCTCGTCTCACCTCGCCGTCCAGCTTTGTTTCCTTTGCGTCGATTCGCGACGATCGTTGGTTGCCGCGTTTGTTTCTCCCTGACCCGACCTTTGAAGTCGCCGACTGCCTGTCTTCGCGGCACCATAGCGAAGGCAAGGGTGGTAGTGCTTGCGAGACTTTGTGCATCACGGCGGAGGAACCGTAGCTGCTTTGGGCACCCGCCCCGACTCTACATCCGCGCGTTGCTGCGAGCGGGATGGACTGCCTCAATCAATCCGGCCATTCGCAAAGGAACGAGCTGCGTTTGTACTTTCGAGTTGTTTGTGTGTCTTGTTTTCGCCGACGTACTCACCGCTCCAGCGAAGGCAATTTAGTTGAGTTGTCGACACGGAAGTTTTTGTTGGCGCCGGCATGCTGATATTTTTTTTTCTCTCTGTTTTTCGCGCCCAACTCGGCATCGGACCTGCATGGCAGAGCCTCGGACGGTGGTCGAGCGACCCTTCTTCTCTTGGACCGTGCGGACGACCCGCTCTCGCCGCTGATGCACGAGTTCACCTACCAGTGTCTCGTCGAAGACCTCCTCGGCATTAAGGTGATGATAGATGATAGTGCGTGGGCTCAGCCCGAGCCGCCGCTCACGGCACGCGGGCAGGATCATCGCAGTTGCCGCGGTTGCGATCGTGCCCTCTCGAACCAAAGAAGGGAGCCTTATTGGCCCCTAATGTCGGGTTACTATGTTGTGCCGCTTGGCACGGTATGAAATGATCTGCTGGTATGGAATGGGTTGCCGTGAGCTTGGCGTTCGTTCGCAACCCTTTTCGTGCAGCGGTGCTTGGCTATGTGACAACAACCAGTTGCCAGGGTGCCCCGGAAGCATGTCATGACCATGTTTCCAGCCGGGCTCTGAGATTTGCTCACCAACTTTCCTCACCAGATGATGCCCCCCCCCCCCCGAAAGCGTGGGCGCATTCCGCGTTCCTCTGTACCGGGTGCTATGTACGTACAACTCTTTTCATCTCCATGGAAGGTTTAGGCAGAGACAGAGGCGATGGTTCCGCCGCTCTTGCCGTCTGCGTCTCCGACGAATGACTGCCGTCAACAGCAAGTCTGCTCGGTGTCCTTTGCCACTGTGGTGTCGAACGGTCACTCCGAGTATCATCCCTCTGCTTGGTGATAATCGTCCCTCTGCTTGCGTGTCCGCGCGAGTTTGATTTCGACGACAGTTGCGTGCCTCTCCTGCCGTGTATCTCGCGTTTTTGGTGGCGTTTCGCTTTGAAGGACGGGCGCGTGACCTACACGACGGAGACTGGGAGAGGAAAGCAGAAGAAGGAGGCCCTCCTGACTGATTCCGACGCCTTGTGGGCAGAGTTCCGCCACAAGCACATCGGGAAGGTCCTGACCGACCTAGGTATGTTGCACCGATGCAGTGGTAGCAGGGCGCCAATTTGTTTTATGGTTCAAGCTTTGTGACACTTGCGCATTGTGCTTTGCATACATACTCTGACGAGCCTTCAATTGGTACGCTTTTCGCGAACTTTTGCTGCAACCTTGCGGCACACGCTTGTAGAGTGCGGGCTGACCACTGTTTCTAGCGCTGCTTTTGGGGCTTGCTGATTTGTTGTCGCCCTACGCTGGAAATGTCCAGTGCCTCACAGAATAACCCTGTGGCATGATCATGTTGGGTAGGGAACGGGGTCGTACCGATAAGGACTTGGGCATACCTACCGACATCGCGTTGGTATTCAGCCGAACACTCAAGTTATCTCTGTCGTACGTCGTTCAACGTACTTGATTGATTGCAATCCGCGATATTCTGTTGCGTGTTTTGTTTGGGCATGGGAAGGTAACCGTTTCCGCGACTTGGTGGCCAGCAATGCCGGAGCCGCGGCGTTGGTCAAGGGCGAAGGCCGACAGGTACAAGTGCTACTCAATCATGCCACCTAGTATGCGTTAAGTTTGCCCCAAACGGTGATTGTATGCTGCTGTGCGAGAAACGAACGTGGTTATGGCCGTGACGGCGCCGTTAGAACGAAAATGATGCCGTTCGTCACCGAATATCCCCCCTTTGCGTGTTTTCACGTGCGTTGCGCCCACCGCGGTAACCGTGTGGGGTTGCTCTTGACGCGCCATGACCTTCCCATGCGTATGTGTGTGTCTGTTTTTTTTTGTCGTGGTGCTTGGATTCGTTCGTTACTGTACGGCACGCTACACCACACCTTAGTGCATGGTGTGACGCCACCCCCCCCTGGCGTGCCGTTGGTATCGTTGACCGTCGGCGGTGGTTGGGTGCATGTACTTGTTTTGGCAGATGTCGGTGGAGCAAATGGCTAAGGCGACACGGGGCCTCCCTGAGTTCCAGGAGCTGAGCAAGAAGATGTCGCAGCACGTGCGCCTGTCGCAGGATTGCATGGACAAGGTACGGATTATTTAGTCAGGTGGTTCAACACGATGCCGCGAGGATGAACCAAAGGCCGTCCGTCTACTCTTTGCGATGTCTTGAGCTTAAATGTGATGCTGTGAGTTGTCGGCCTGAAAACGGGAGCCCCGCAGAAGCGATTCAGGGTTGGCGATGGGGGGTACACTGGTAGTCCAGTGGCAAGAAGCCGTCACCGTGTTTTGGTGTGGAGGTTGTTGTAACCTCTCTTTGAGAGGCTCTCTTTGAGAGGATGCTCTGCCCCTCGCTTACGCTCACGCCTGTGTGCCTGTTTCTCTCTCTGTTTTTTCTGTCTCGCCGCCGGATGCCATGGGTGCGAATCCGCTCTTGTTGCAGTTGGAGAGGAAGAATCTACTCCAGGCTGGGGCGTTGGAGCAAACGATGGCACTGGGCACTGACGACGTGAGGAGGGGGGTGATGTGCCACGCCTGCCACCAGAAGCGCCCTCTTGCTTGTTCGGATGCTGCATGACGATCCATGTTTGTGGTAGCTCAAAGCACCCCGCAGTACTGTTTTGGTTCGAACGGTTTAGTTCCGTTTTGGCTAGACGAAGGTAACTTCTTCTGTTGGTCTGATGGAGTTTGTGTTTGCACCTCAGCGCTTGAGAAACGCAGGTCATGCTTCACACGACAGATTCGCCGTGCGTGCATTTGAGATACACTTCGAACATGATAGGTCCCGCCCACCACTCTTTGGTGCCTTGTGCTACAACTTATTTTGAAATTGCACCATCGGCAACCCGCCCGACAGTAGTGCAACCGGATTTCTCGATCCGCACCCCCGCCTTCTACCGCTGCGTTGGCTCTTGTGCTCAAAATGACAGTTGGTTTACGTTCCTCTCATCTCTCCCCAAGAGTGCCCTCATTGTCTCATTTTGAGGTTTGGTCGTCAAGAGAATATCAAACCACCCGTCCTACTTGCCCTGCTGCAGCTCGGCAGGAGTAGAAAGTGCAAGGACATCTTGGAGGGGTGGGTCATCGAAGGCGGCGACGTGCAACCGGGCTTGCTCGAGATCCTCAAGGCCTCGCGGACACCGGAGGTAGAGGACCTTGCCTGGCACTTGCTTGTGGATTTTGGGAGCAGGAGTTTGACAACCAGGCGGTTAAGCTGGGCTTACGTTATTGGGCCATGTCCATGCCCATGTCGATGTCCTGCCCTGAAATCGTTCTTGTTGTTGTTACCGTGTTGATCTAAACGGCTTCCATTCAGCTCTGACAGCATGCGTGAGGCATTGTGTCGATAGGGCGGTGTGCTTGCCCTACATGCCGAGCCGCTTTGTGGAGCTGGATGCGTGCACGGTACGACTAAATAGTACGGATGCCCGGTGTGCCAACTACCTGATGTAAAGTTTGACTCTTTGTTGGCTTTTTCATTTTTTTGTTGCTGTCGCAGGAGATGAAGCTCAGACTGGTGGGCATCTTCAACGCTACGCAGACCAAGGCCACTTCCGACGAGAAAACGAGGGTTGTCAGGTGATTGATTGCCGCGCTCACGCTGTCCGGCGCAATAGCAGATACTTGAGCCGAAGCGCCCGCCATGTACAGCATCTGCAGCATGAATATTTTGAAACACGTTTTTTTGCGGTGCTCTAGCGCGTGTGCGGTTCCCCTCTTTGTGCTTGCTTGCTTTTCCAGGCCTCATGTGCTGTAAAGTTTGTCGACGCTCTTGTTTACCCTTGTTTCAAATCTGACAGCAGTTGTGCATGATTCGGTGTGCGCGCTTTGCGCTGCGCATTCGCAGGGCAGCACAGCTAGCCTCGACGTCAGTGCCGACGCTGACCGGATTGGAAAGACTGGCGGCCGCGGCGGGGGTCGGCGGCGGGGTCGGCGGCTTCTCCGATCCATCCAGCGCCAAGAAAGGCAACAAGTTGTTCAAGTCGCTCGGTTTCGGCGCTTCCAAACAGGAAGAAACGAACGACTTCACCCACATGAGGTGCGCATGCCATGGACATGTGTGCATCGCCACCGTATACGTGGCGTATAAAGGACCTCTTGCAAAATTGCGGCTAATACTCCCGTCTCTTGGGGCATGCTTTCTGGGATTACGGTTTGACGCAGTTTATACGCGGTTGACGCAGCGCAAGAGGTAGCGGGGCTTGTCTCAACATCCCTGGCCAAGCTTGGGGGTACGGAGCGGCAGTTACCAACCGGAATCCCGTGTGAAAATGGCCAATATGGTGATCCTAAGGTTCAGACGTTGGCTAGTGCTACCAAGTGGGTTAGCGAGGGCTCGCAATACGTGGAGACATCGCGTTTGTGGCAGCGACCTGAGCTCCTATGATGTCCTGTGTCGACTGTGGTCGCTAAGGCTGTTGTCACATGTGACTGTTTTCGGTTTTCGATATGTTTTGCAGGTATAAAACTCCCCTGAAGGAGACCTTGGCCAAGATGCTCTCGGGGACCCTCTCTTTCGACGCCTTCCCTTCCCTCTTGCCGATGCCTCAAGAGGTTCGTGTGTACATACATATGGCCTGGCATGGTCGGAGCGTGATGCCTTGTCGTTACAGTCGTGTTTTTTCAGTCTTTGTACGATTGAGTGCTCTACATCGACGAAACGAAAGTGGGGAGTACGCTGGGAGGGGGGTTCAGGCTAGAAATAGACGGTTTGGCACTGTCGCTGGCTTCCCGGAACGCGAGTGAAATGACGTCGCTTTAGGTGGTCTCAGCCCTGGTAGGGAGGGCGACTGCATGTCGTCCTTCAACTGAAGCTTCCTGGTTCGTCTAGAAAGGAATTGCTTTCAGTGTTCGTCCTGCCTGTTGCCCATCCCAATGGAATGCTGCTACACCGCGAACGCAATGCGATGGCGTACAGTGCTGGAACTCGCCTATGTCAGCTCCAGGTGCAAAAGCTCAAGGACCGACAATCACAAATTACTCTCGTGTGTTTCGTTGTCGTGACCCTCCTGCGGCAGGCGCCGAAGAAGGCGGTGGGACGCAGCATCCGCAAGGGTGGTGGGCAGGAGGCGACAACGTACAGCGGAGGTGAGACGGACGTTGCAGCGGCGTCGTTCGTTGCGTTTGGCGACTTGTTTGTTTTTTGTTGAGCCAGCCACCCTGTTGACGCACGTTCGCACCCGTCAACGCAGACGTGGTCGTTGGGTGCTTGCTGCCCTTCCTTTCCTCGTCTCTCACGCGGTAGCTTACAAGCAGTATTTCTGAACCACTACGGTGTCCTGTTTGTTCGGTTTCCTTTTGCACATGCTCCTCACACACAAACCGGATCGGATTCCTGCACTTTTTCGCCGGCCGTGCTTTGCTTGTGCTTGTGTGTGTGTGTTTTGTTTTGTACCAGCTCGAGTAATCGTGTTCGTGATCGGCGGCGTGTGTCACTCGGAGATGAGGGCTGCCTACGAGGCAATGCAAGAACACGGACGGGAGGTTAGTGCTCGCTCACAGGCTGCCTGTCTTGTAATCAGTACAGCTGTGTAGCCTGGCACGGCGGGGATGCACGCTAAGTTGTGACAAAGTGGGGTGCGTCGAGGTAACCGTATTCACGCGCGGCAGAGAAATGTTTGCGTATGCATTTAGTACCCCCGCGAAACTGCAGGGAACAGGGTAGTGATGTAGCATCAGTGCTGGCCCTCGCAGGGTTGATTCGCTTTCACTGGCGTGCATAGATCCTGCTAGATTCATGAGATGCAACTGGTTTGTAGGAGTCGGAACGTTGCCGGCTGGCCGACATCGATGTACACGACGCTCCCTGTGTGGCACAACACGACCAGATGGTGGTTCCACCAACTGCATTGACGGCTTGGAAGTGCTAATGTTTATGCGCCCCCCCCGCATGTCCTGCTTTCTCCAAATTCCTCAGGTCATTGTAGGCGGCACGACGTTCTTACCCCCCGCGGGCTTCTTGCAAGGCTTGAGCGGGTTGGCTTAGCACCGCACGGCTGACAAGGGACGGTATCCGAGTTTTTTTTTTTTTTTCAAAGCAGTAAATAGATCGTGTCGTTGAACGCTACAAACTCTGCTGTCTGACGTAATGAGTTAAGGTACCCCCCTGGGTCTGGTACCCGTCTGGCAGTGCAGCAATCGCACGCAGGCCAATGAGGTTCGCTGGGTAGGTAGCACTGGGCACTCGCGGCTGCTTCCGAGATTCAACGTTTTCGTTAAAGTTTGCGTGATCTCTCGCCGAGGTCCCTTGAATCGTCATCGAGGGAACGGACGCGATGCACCACCCTCGACTTAATTCTTCTCGTAGCCGGAAAAGGCGTGCGTTTTTTCCACTCCTTGGTGTTTGTGTGTGTAGAAGTATTGTTGGCTCAAGAGGTATTTTGCATTGTTGTGTCTTCTACAGGTGGTATCATTAGGTTTGCCATGCGATTCAAGTTTTCCCCGACAACCATATAGTCTAACAGGGAGCTCAGCGCGAGAATGGGGAGTGTCTGTCTGCTACATTTTCGCTGGGGGCTTCATTCAATTGATGGTTGGTGTGTTCGTTTTGTAGAAATATCCATCGGAGTGTATTTCAAGTGTTTCCAAGTGTTTGATCTCAACGTAAAGTGTGCGTTCGCCTTTTTTTTTTGTCCAGTACTTGGTATTTCAACCCGCAAGGTCGATCTCTGCATCGCCAGGTGACACCAGGGTGAGCACCAAACACGAGATAATGAGCCCGATTGCATACTTGTGGAAGGTATCCTCGTGTGCCTTTCACGTTCTGACTCGTGATTTACCCAATTCCGACATGGAAAGCTGGAAATGCAGACACAGGTATCGTTTGCTCGCGTAGCTGCGACTCGTTCGTTCCGTTTGCCCGGACGCTTGTACGGCTTCGATGATGATGCTATCGATCCTGCCGCGAACCTCCAACCACTAGACGCGGTGCCCTTGTCACGAGGAAAACTTTCCCCCCCTCCTTCTGGTCAACACCCCCCTTCTATTAAACTCTCCTCCCCTCGCTCGCCGCGAAGCTGTTCTTCCCTACATAGCATAAAACACATGACCCTGCTTTCTCTTTGTTGCGACCCCGATCACAAAGCACCATCACATCAAAGTTAGCAAAAATCGGAGCCACTAGGCCACCTTCGTTGCGACCCCCAAAAAACACAAAGCACCACCACGTAAGGATAGCAAGACACCGGTTGCACGTTACCGTTTGGAGGCGTGTGGCTCTTGCTGGCCCGGTACCGCTTTCGGTCATCGCAGTGGGGGTGGCCATGGCGGTGTTGGCGGCGGCGGCGGCGGTTGCTTTGCCGAAAACCAAACCAACCCAGCCCCAGCTGGAAGCATGCACATGGTCGTGAGAGGCATCGGGTAAACAGGGGTGCGTGATGAGAACAACGCGGAAGGGTCCGGGCGGGAACTGAAGGGGAGGGGGTTCCGGCTGATATGTGATGTAAGTCTAGCTGGCGGAGAGGGAGGTCCTTGATGCCCAATCAAGTACCGGTCCATGCAATACTTCCATTTTTTCCAGCGGAAGGGGCTTCTAACGTTCGACTGAGGTTAGCGTGTGTTCACTGCCTACACGAGGCCGACCGAAGTCCGTGGTATTGCAAGAAAACACAGCATGAGTGACAAAGACAACAATTCGCTCCCCGAGAGTCTCGAAGAAATCGTCATGAGAAGTTTCGCGTAAACTCGCCCGTTCCGGAGATGGGCTGAAAGGTCTCATTGAAACGCTTCAGATCAAGCATCTCAGCACTGGCCAGACAACCAGTCGAAGACCATTTGCGTCGTCAACACCTCGCAACATTTCGCACCGATAAAAGCCCCCCGGCTGCGACAGGGAAAGGGCACTCCGTGGGAACCGGCCAAGCTCGGTGAAACGGCGCAACAAATTCCACCAATCAACTCGTCTGCTCGCCAGATTGATCATCAGCTGGTTCTTATCAGAACTCCATTCCTGGTCAAACTCTCAACTTAATGTACAATCTGCTAACAACGATTCCGTCCGCTCGGCATCCGTCTAAAAACCATCTCTGCGTCTTTGAGAAAGCGAACTGTCGAAAAACTCGGACTGTGACACATACATACGAAGTACCACATGTTTTCCACCCGTTCTTCTGGGTGCCTGGGGTTACATAAGCATGCACTCCCTCAGGGTGTGACTACACTACAATAGCCGTGGGCACAAAGGACAGTTCCGCTACTATTGGCCTATTACGAAAATAATCGTTTCTTTGGTCATCCACGGTAAGCGTTAGATTTGGTATCTTGGCTACATCGTTTTTGCAAAAAACGTTGAAAACGCTCAAGTGCGCCACCCCCTCCCTCCGCGTGTCGAACAGCAACTCCTCTTGAATGTCGAAATTGCAGCGGGGTAGTCATAGCAGGCAACGTCGCGGGGCACGCCTAAACAAACCCTACAAAGTGCCAAGTTTTGGGCTCAGCACAGCCCAATGCTGAAGTCTCATCTTACCTTGTGCTTCGTGTGGATTTTCGCGCCAAGAGCTCTGCTTGTGCAAGTGTTCTGCTCGCTCAATACCGAGCTAGGCGCAGCCGTTGTCGAGCTAGCTTGCACAGTGCTCGGGTAGTATCTGTGGGCGCATGGGGACAACAGCCGATGGCGTTTCATACAAGAGCATGGCGTAAACAGCTTGACGCGTGGGTCATCATACTGTGCAATTCGCTCACCAATCAATGCGACCGCTTGCGGCCGAGATCGTTCTCCGTTCGTCGAGGATGCCTCGGAGCAGGGAGAAACTCGTCGGGGCATTCACCAGAACCTTTAGAAGACACGAGAGGGCAGACACCGCACAACGGCGTAAGAGGGGTGGAAACAAAGAAGTACGCCACACGCGCAGGTTTTCATCATCGCCACCATATTATTCCCCCGTACACACCTACACACCCCTGTCCTCAGGTATCGTGTGAGCTTCGTGGCTATCGTGCCTGCTTTGTGCGTCCAAGCAGAAAGGAGGGGAGCACGGAGAGAGAATTGTATTGCTGTTAGTAGTCCCATCGGCACAACCCTTCCCATGACCCGTTCTTTTCGGGGTCATTACCCCCCGACCCGCTCAACCTTGTTTCTCTATTCTCCCGCCAAAGCGCACGCAATGCCTACTTGCAACAAGCTATGCACGACCCACCGGATAAACGCACGGCGCCATACTCCCATCATGAAGATCTACATCGTGGTAGTTCCACCGCGGTGCCGCCGACGATCGGGGGTGTAGAGGACGGTAGTCTGCGAGGTCACATGGAACTACTTTCACGCGGCTGGATGAATCCGAAAGGACCATTCGAAATGCCGCGAACAAACTCTTGAAGGTGGACGGGCGATGTTTGTATACTCATAGCCGTGCATGCCGTACATAGTCGTTAGACTATTGAACTCGCATCCCCATAAAGCCGGGACGGAGCACGCCGGGTTCTCACCGGACCAGGCTCTCACATCACCAAGCGCGAAGCGCCGTGGGACATTCGGCGAGTCGCATGAACGGTGCGCTGCATCCTGCTAAGGGTGTTCGGCTTCTTGTGCTTACTTCCCTGCATACGGATGACAGCTGCGAATGAACCAATTTGTTTTCTGGTGCTGTCACTTCCAGAGACAGTTATAAGCACTGTGCAACTGCCTCGAGGGAGCTTGACCAATTTTACACGACGTGGTGCGATCATCCCCTTTGCGCAGAGTGAGGGTTCTCGACTCCGCACAAAATAATCTACTCGACCACCATGGTTACCGCAAAAACAACCAGAGGCAAAACCCCCCCGGCAACCTGGTTGTCGAGCTCGCGAAGCGACCAGCGTGTGTTACAACGTCGTTGCCAAGCGACGAAAACCCGACCCCAAAGGGGGGGGAGGGGCGGGGGGGTCACAACGCTGTCGAAACGACCGACATGAACGCGGTGTTTGCACAAGGTCGGCACCCGTCTTGCTTTATGCTGTGCCCGTAGGAAGCACTGGTACATCGCATATGGCACACATTGTACTTGACTGTGTTGGCCTTCTCAAGTGATGTCGTTTAGGTACTTGGGCAAAGGCGTACTGCCTAACTAACATGACTTGTGGAATAAATGCACGTGACAACATTGCGACATTGTCCAGGTTCGGGAAAATCAAGACGCCACCACGAGAACCACCGAATATAGGTGAAGCACCAGAGATAATGCTGCTCTGTTCCGTCCAAAACATTCGTCCTCCGCCAAGTTGTTCGGAAAACTCGAAAAGTTCTGCAGCCAAGCGCGACTACAAAAACAACGACAAATTGGTGCGATAACACGCCGATGTACAGAACATCCCCTGCAGGTCACCGCTGGGTCAACTACTAAAATATCGGGGAGAAACCCTCCGTTATGTCGTGAACTATTGAAATTCTGCCCTGACAGAAACATCCTGCGTTCGGACACATCCACACGTACACTCTTCACGATCACACCAGCCATAACGCACAACTCTCCTGCATCTAATGGTTTATGTGAGTACTGTGTGGATGTACATCACCATGAAATACCCTTCTTTGCGTGTTGCGAGAACCAGCCATAACTCACCCCTCGTTCGTGCGGAGCAGGAATCACTGTTTCTCAAGGATTGCTCCAAGGTACCACAACTGACACACGAAGCCAGAGTCTCTCACTATCTGATAGGGAAATCGAGTCACCAGCCCCACTGCCCGCATCATCCAAACAAAGGTGGCCGATTGGTTGCCGAGGCAACCCCCACGCTGCCGACCCATGGTGGCGTCAGAGCAAATGAGTAACCGCGCGAAGAGTACAGAGGACGTGTTCATATCAACAACGTACCCTCATGTGGTTGCACTACTGATCACAGTTTCGGTTGTCAGGTTCAACCCCCCACACAGGATGCACGAAATAACAGGACAACAAAATAACACTCTTCAGAAATCACGTGGTACAATTCCAGCACAGATAAGATTAGCGCTCACACCAGGTACACGTCTAGGTGTCCAAGAATGAGTAGCTTCTGTGTGAGCAACAACTGCATGTGCTTCAACCGCTATGAACCAGCTGATCAGGATTGCAGAGTAGTGGTGGATGGCAATTCGGATCGAAGAAGAGATAGAGACAAGGCGGAGGTCACGGGCTTGGGTCTCGGAACAACAATCCGCGCTCAAAATCGGTGGGAGGCCAAAACAACGTATACATGTCGGCCATTATAGTCCTCCACCCCAAAACTGCATTAATTTGATATTCCAGAGCCTGTTTGGAGTTGTGGCCGACTTTCAACTATTGGCGAAACGTTTGGAAAGAGGAACTACTACTATAATACTACATATGCTGTGGCGACCGTATGGAAGGGCACCCGCCTGCTTGTTGTCGTGAACCATTTTAAAAACTGTAGAGACCTGACACCGGACACATCAATCCGTCGATTTGTAACCCTATACACCAGCTGCTCTACACAGCAGTAAACGTGGCGGGGTACCGTAGGGCACGCGCCTTTTTGCGATTCCGACGAGGTGGACAAATGAGACGTGCGCATACGCGGGGGCCAGCGGTAAGATGCGCGTATTGTATGTGCAGAGCAGCCTCGAAGATACAGGTGGTGTGTGTTGACACGACACACAGGGTGAAACGACACAGTCATTATCAGTACTCCATTAGATTCTGCTCGTGGATGAACTCTCCCCCCCCCCCGGCCCCCAGATTTATTAGTAGACTCCCCGGCGGCGGAACCAACTCTGCGCACCTAGCGGTAGTCGAAGCGCTTCCCGTTCCATGAGGGTGGGTACGGAACACAAATATTGTTCAGCGGTGAGTCTTTGCGTCGTACATACCACAATCGTCGAACGAAAGGACCGTGCGTGAGGCTCTATTTCATTTGTCTGTAGTATCTTCGTCAGTTGGACCGGTACGGACGTTAGAAGGTACTGAGCAGAGACCAAAACGGTGTTCTATGTGAGTACAAACAACAGTAGCAGCTTTGTACGACCGTCGCGCTGTCGTTTCAAACTGCAGGCTGCGGGAATTCTCGGAGTCCCACTTGTTCGAATGTTCAGCTCTCGAAACTCGAATGATCCTTATCGTTGTTCTGTGTTTGATAATCTCCTCCACGCTGGACCCCTGGGTTTGGTCTACACCTCTAGGTGATTTTCGTGGGACGTACATAAAACAGCGAGCCCTGCAAGATGGCAACTGTCAATAAAACTAGAGTAGGTCGAAGGCACACGTCTGAGAACGCCTCTCGTTGTCGAACGGGGAATAAAACAAACATTCGCACTACTCTCGTCGTCGTCGGACAAACTGCTTTCGATTCACCTCCCCCCCCATCCCTGTGAGAGATCGCGTTATCAAATTCTTTTTATTTCGTCAGTTCAACACATTCAGTCTCAACACATTTCAGGATCAATATTTGTAACATTGTGGTACCCACTCCGATGGCATCATTCGTGTGAGACCTTAAACGTTATCTCTACAACGAATACACACCTTCAAGCTACGCTTCATCGATCGAAAGTCCCGACCGAATCCCTCCGTTCTATACTGGACAGCCATGCATCATCAGCTCACACTAAGCTCTGCCTCTGGCAGTTTGCAAATCAACGGGGGCTCGCAATTCAGACACACAAAATCGGACACACGCCAGCGTACTCCAAAAACCTGTCTCATCTCTGCCAAGGCTGGTGTACGTATCCATGGTCTACAGTACCTTGGCATCAAAGACTCAAGTTCAAGGACCATTATACCCTTTTCACCGCCCCGCGAACGACTTCCAATCAGTAGTACTGCTTGGTCTGTTCCATCGCGTAGGCGTGCTTGAGAAGGAAAGCCGCATCTTCGTGGTCAGCACCCTGGGCAAAGAGTGGAAGGGAGAGGTGTGCGTGGGGAAGCTCGAGGTATATGAGCACGTGGAATTAGTTCGCAACCTGGTGGAAAATCGGTACCATAGACCCAGACACGCCAACACGCCCGGCAGCACGCAACCAGACAGAACTCTCGAGGAGGGTACAGGCTCAGTATCCAGTTAGGTGACTCGGGTGGTGACCAGTGAGCGAAGAAACGTGCCGACTCTGAATCTTATTCATGTGTGTTACCGTATTCCTGGTGAGCTTCTGAGCAAGGAAAAAAATGTTTTCTTTCCCATTGAGAAGGGCGTTGAAGGTGAAAAAGAAAGCAGCACAACAGTACCCAGCTGAGAGAACACAGGTGGAGCCCGCCTCTTCGTTCCACAGTTAATAGTATGTTCGGCTGTTGGTGTGTGTCACCATGTTAGTGGTCTCGGTGCCAACAATCTTCTTGATTTGCATAGCAATCACTCGTTTCAGAGGCATTCCTTCATACCAGCAGCGCGAAGGACTGTCAACCACGTGGGTTTACACCTACGATGCGCTCACCGCTTGTTGGAGGCCCGAGTCATTCGGGATGCGGGTTCTCTGCGACACCTTGTACGGCTTCCCGCTCAGGATAGCGTCCACAGCGAGGTCGACATTCCACACGATGGTCCACTTGTTCACTTGCCCCCGCTCTAGCTCTACGATCGTGTCAAAGATCGGTGCACCGGCTCGCTGCCTCTGGACCTGTGTTAGCCGCACATGCAAGACCATACTATTACGATGTTCCCATGGCTTCCATACGTTTGGGCAAAGCGTTGCTGATCGTAACTCAGTGACGCTGACTACATAGAGAAGAGACAAGAAATTTCACCTCCTGGCCGTGGTATCGATCGGACGCAATGTCAGGTCAGCCTAAAGACCCACATGTATCGAAAAAGTTTCGCGATCTCTTTTGCCAGCCACGGTCCCGTACCTTAGCTGGCGCTTGCAAAGACATCCCCACTCGTAGCCTTTCGGCCCAACAACAAAACGTATGGTCGGCAAGGAGCATTTGTTTCGTGAAACGCGATTGCCTTGCTCCCCCCACGCTCGCCAACGATACACTCAACGTTTTACCAGCCAGCAATACCCTCAACATACCCGACTACACAGAGTGGATCGTTCGAGTGGCGGGCTAGTGTTCCTGTTATCGGGTGTAAGGCCGGTCCCGCCATGCGTGCTTAGCTCCTTCGCGTTGTCGCACCTTGTTTCCCGCGTTGGTAGCGATGGCCATCGCATCACCTAGGGTTACGCTTGTCGTGCCTCCGACCAGAGTGTTGAGTTCCGGGTTCTCGAGCAGCGATTGCAAGTCTCCGTGGGCACTCGCCACCACACGGACGCCTCTGGGAGCGACAGAGCGTTCCGTAAGAAGGAGGGAAAAAGAAGGTTTTCATGCTCCCTCTTTACCCACAGGCGAGTATTGTACGTCTCCGGTAGTCTAGCCGGTAGCCCTTGCCTGTTCTGCTACCCGGGTGTGCCAAGACACGTATTGATTTCGCAACGCCAAGCCAGAAGGGTGGTGTGCAGGAGTGTGGTGTACAGGAGTGTCACTCACTCATTGATTCGATTGAAGAAGGTTGGGCAACGTCAAAGGTACCAAAATGTTCTCCACATCAATGGATGCTACATCTCAGGGCGCCTTACCGAGCCTTGATGTCCAAGCATGCCCTAGCCTCGTTCTTGTTGGATACCTCATCCACCACAATCGTCTGGGGCGTGTGGTTCTGAAGCGCCTCTTTCATCACGCTGATTTGTACACACCAGGGTAATAGAAAGAAACCAACGCACACAAGGGAAAGGCAGAACGAGCACGTGAGCGGAATACCGCGCTGTACAACCCTGTTCGCACACACGTACGTTCAAGAAGAAGTGGCGGTGAGTACGAGCGAACAACAACATGAGACCCGAATTTCCTCCTTTTCAACAACGGAAAGATATTCCTCATGAACGCGGTGGCACAGCTACACCCACCCACAGAATGATCGCACCTTCACTCACTACCTTGCACCCCGAATCGTCGTCCCTTTCGATGCAAGCGAGTCAGTAAAGACCCGGACATTTACGCACATCGGCGCATCCAACCCAACGTATGGCAGGACGCCAATAACAGGGATGCGGAGAAATGTCTCTGGAGTCACGTCGGTCAATACTTAGAAACAGTAAGTGATGTGTGACTGTGTGTAGATAGGCTGGCTGTTGGAACCTGTCTGTCTCGCCCCTCGAAACAAGGGCAGCTACACCAACAAGAAGGACCGACGACATCGTGATTGACCCGCGGCGACCAGCAGCGCGACGCGCGAGTCCCGCGTGTGAGGAAGAGGAAGCAAGGCGTACTTGTGCTGGTCTGTCTTGTCCGGAACCATCATCCTCCGGCTCTGTCCGATGGCCGCGAGGTGAGGGATGTGGCCGTCGCCGGCAATCTCGTTGCTCGTGTCCACAATCACCACGGTCTGACCATGGCGCAGGCAGCGTCAATAGAGAGCGTGGACTCAAGTCAGATTCATCAGATCGTTCACGGCCTAACCAGGGGATGAAGTAGACGGTACACTTCCGGCTAGGGCGAATACAAAGCTCGCTGCTACAAAACAAACAACATCTCCCAGAACGTCTGTCCCGCATCTTGACGCATGTCTGGTGTGCGAGTGTGGTTTCGTCACTGGAGCAAGAACGAGGCAAAAGCCAAGCCTTCTCCATGGGGTGTGTGCGTGTCCAACAGACGGCAACAACAGTTGGTAGAGCATTTGTCACCTGCTCCTGGGAGATCTTTCGGCAGATGTCGCGAAGGACGGTGGTCTTGCCACACCCTGGCTTGCCCAGCACAAGGACAGAAGCGGCACGCTCGGGCTTGTCTGATGTGACGGAGAAGAGCGGCGGTGGCCAATGTTCGCGTGGTTGCGGGTAAGGGCGTGCGAATGCGCAAATTCGGGCAGAATATGCGATTTTCATCAGTGCAAGTTTTATAGCGTAAAGGGTAGGTGTTGCTCGCGACTTTCTCGGAGACTTAGGCTGGTCAGAGCCTTCGCGGGCGGCTGGCTCTTTGCTATATGCTTCAAACGTATCCCTGGTTCAACTACACTCTGGCCGCCAACGACGCGTAGTATGCCCTGGTTGGAGGACTGCGGCACACTCGTGCGACACTCGCAGCGTCGTTACACCACAAGGCGGACCGGGGGCCAGAGTCTCAAAGGCAACACTGTAGTGTCCACTCAGCAAACGTTGATGGGATGTACAAGTGTACTCTCACCGGGGCTGCCCTGCACGTGGAAGAGCAGGTCGTCGACCAAGCCTGCACTACCCGGGAAGTAACGGCCAATCCGCAGAGTCACGCCGAAGATCCGCCTGCCCTGTATACCATACGGTCACAACACACGAGCACACACAAAAAACCGCTTGAAAACGCGTTTCTTCTATTCTACGGACTTTGACTCAACGACGCAAGTTTCAGCCCCGAGAACAAACGGACGCGCTTAGTCACGAAGGGCGCCTGCCACGTACATGCCTACAAGAGCGCACGCCATCGGCCGAACACAACACTTGTCCACAAGCCAACCGTTCCGCCATATCATCAACAGTACTGTTACGCGGCGCACGCACTCCACCAGCGGCGCTTTAACACACGATTGGAAATTCGTTTCGAATGCCGAGAAAGAACAATTGGACGAGCAGCAGGCCTTGATTTCGGCTGGGCGCTCGAAAGCGGCCTCCTGGATCGTTACCTCCCTGCCCCTCATGACGCTGATGCGGTGCAGCTGTCCCGGGACGCCCGCTCGGTTGTCGCCCGCGAACTTGCCCTCGAGGTCGAGCCGCCCAACGACCATGTCGATGTGTTCTTTGGTCACGACCACACTCTTGTCGCTGCAGAGGAACAGCTTTCCGCGCCCTGAGCGTAGAGAGAGAGAGGGAGAGAGCATGCAGGCGGCCGTGAGGAAAGGAAACGGCCGTGATTGTTCGAAGAAAACCTTTGCTTGAATGAACACACATTGGGTATTGTGTACTTGTCCACCACGCGCTCAGAGAAGGGCTCGCGTTTTGCATTCAAGATGGACAACAACAATAGTGCCTAGGAATCAGAAAGGGTGGAAAGGGGGCTCCACCCTTTTAATGGTCTTGATAACCAGCGTTGAAGAGAAGGGTCTATTGTCATTGCCACGTCGGCTAGAGAAGCCTCTTAGATGCTGCGCGCATCAGGTCTGTACTCGAACCCATACCTTGCAGAGTGGCGTAGGGCCTCCTTCCTTCGTCGAGAACGAGCTCGTTCAGATCCTGTACGTTCTGCACGTGCCTGGGCATGGAATATTCACAATTGGCGAGGTTTAATGCTTCAGCGTGTACTACCACACACGTAAAATGCTCTCCACATGTTTCGTAGAATCAGTGGGGCAAACGAGCTTGATAAGATAACCCACCAAACGAATCCACAAGGACAAATGTAGTTCCTTACCAAGGCCGTGCGCCCTAGCTCTGGTGCATGTGGACAACTTTCACGAGGTTTGGAGGCGCCGTGGTGTTTTGAATCCAACGCGGCGTTGTTGCGTGTTGTTCGTGAGAAGCGAACATCAAAGGCCCATCGTGGTATGTGGTTTTCGCTTTGACGAACACGGGGGAGAGACATAGCCTAGCCGACCGGAACATGTACATGGGGCACGCTGCCAGCTGTCGCATCTAGCCGGAGCCACATGTCAGCCCCAACGTACAAAATACAAGCTCCGTGCCGAATCTACGTGACTCTCTCCAACATCACGCGCCGCTCACCTTTCTGTCAGGTGTTCTTCGAGAAAGTCTTCAGGAATAAGTTCCAGAATCTCGTGGGGAGAGTTGGGATCTCGCTCCACGCCATCATTCTGCTCCAAGCTGTCAAGGGCCGACCTAACACTACAGTAACAAGGGTAATACCCAGTTCAGCAATCAGGGCTTTGCAAGGGGGACGAAGAGAGGTTAGCAAGCGTAGTCCATTCATAAGCCTCCAGGCCGATACTTGTGCCACAGCCGAACAAATAAATGCTGCCATTTTCTAATCGTGCCATGTACCGACAACACTAGGCATGCGTCCACCCAGTTATATTCAAAGAATGGCACGGTCGTGGGGCTACGTTTCTTCTCCGACTACGTGCTGTAGCTCAAACTCGCTACATTTTGCATCGGACGCGAAGCTGCTCCCCCAATTCTAGGCCCGACAATGGGACGTACGTGGGGTCGTTGTCGCCGATGACAGCCGGTGTCGCGTTCGAGGACAGCGCCTGTCCCGAAGGAGCCGATAGCCCGACCTTCTCTCTGGCCTGACGAGACCATTAGACAACGAACGGCCGAGGCACGTTGAGGGTTGAAGCGTTCGAGTATTTGCGGCCAAGAGCACCTGTAGAGAACGTGGCCTTGCTGCCATTATACAGCGTAGGTCGCATTGGACATATGTAAACCTTAAGCCTGAAGAAACCATACACGATGTTTTCCGGGAAAGCAGATACGTGCTTGAGCTCGAAGCTGGTCAGAATTCTCCCGACCCCGCCTCCCCAGCAAGAACCGTGGTTGCGAAACGCCATCCTCCGCGTGTCTTGGCTCCAGGAGGACATGGCGAACTCTGTCGTCCGCTGGAAAGTAAGGGTGGGGGGTATGTGTGAATTATTAGTGGTTTCGCGTCAACCTACGGTGACTACAGAGTATTTGCGGCATGTCCTTCGTCCAGCGACTACAATATAACTCCATCTGCGTTGTCGTGCAAAGGGATACCGTTTAACTGTTTAATATACACTCATCCTGCTGCCATTGTGTCGTAAGTCTGCAAGATTCACCGCACAGCTTACGCTGGTGTTTGTAGTTAGCATGAAGATTGTTCCGGACCTGAGAAGCTTCCAGCACGATGTCCTTTTGCCTTTTCTTGGACAGACTCAAGACGGCGCTTTCCGTGACCTGGCCGCAAAGACAGAACAACGACAAACATCCGAGAAAATTGATTCTACATCTACCAACCGCCTTGCGTACATTGTATGCTGCAGCACATGGGGCGTCAAGTTAAAGAGCACTGGTTGACTTCGAGAATCGATTCCTGCTCATTCTGAAAGCAGCGGATTTCAACGTTACTGGCACACCTTGGCAAGCGATAAGACTGGCTGTGCCGCCAAGCCCAATGTTGTCGTGTCAATAGGTCGCCTCATGGTTGACGCTTCTTCACAGCTGAGTGCCCTGCAACACGTGGTACGATGCCGTCGCGCGGAAAATAAAAGCGAGGAGGAAACATTAAGCTGTGGACGTGAACTCGCGCCAAAACAACCACTTTCTTGCCAATGAGCAAACCGCAGGTGGAAACTAAATAACAATGTCCTACTTTGCCTCAATCTCTACGCAGAAGAGCTCTTGACCACGACGTATGATTATTGCCTAAAGTTGTCGCGCTCTGACAACGCAACATGTATCGCAACGCATTCGCATGCACGCACAGCGCCGTGTACGACTATGTCAAACGTGACGTGCGTCCAGCGATGCGCGCACGGTGCCGTACAGTATCAAAACTTCCCCACCTTCCGAATTATAAGCGACACCGGGAAAAATAGGGATGTAGAAAGGGGAAAGTGGCACCTTCCGCAGCGCGACAACCAAAACCGACGCCAGTTAACCGAGCGGAGGGGAACAGCAAGCGGTCCCGGCGGCATAAATAGAGCAGTGGGACGCAATCGGCACCTGAAGGCGGCGTCGCTGTAGGAAACCTGCTGCCCGAAAGCTCTCAAGACTGTCACGACATCCGCACCGAAGCGCCCGTGGAGAGCTTCAAAGGCCAGCTGGAGGTCCAGGATTCTACCAATCGTGAACCCCGCGCCAAACTGACGCCGCAAGGCAATCGCGCTGTTGCTGAAGTCGTACACCACCTGCGTCGTCGAAGAATCGAATCTCTTATTATTGAACCACACTGATGTAAATTTTACCCCCCCAAACACCATTGACGGACATGGATGGGCTCCTTACAAGCAAGCATGGAGGGCCAGAGAACTATGGAGTTTCAATATCGATTAGACATCCCCCCCGAGGGATGCCCCCCACCCCCGGTGTTTGCCATCGGGGTTGGGTTTTCGTCGCTTGGCAACGACGTTGTAAAACAAGCCGATCACTTCGCGAGCTCGGCAACCAGGTTGCCGCTATTTTTTTTGCTCCTGTTTTTCTTGTTGCGGTAACCATAAATGGTGGTCGAGTAGACTATGTTGTGCGGGGAGAACCCTCATTCCGCGCAAAGGGGATATTCGTACCACGTTGTGTTCAATTGGTCAAGCACCCTCGAGGCAGTTACACAGTGCTTATAACTGTCTCTGGAAGTGAAAGCACCAGAAAATAAATTCAGTCATACGCAGCTGTCATCCGTACGCAAGGAAGTAAGCACAAGAGGCCCCAACACCCTTAGCACGATGCAGCGCACCCTTCATGCGACTCGCCGAATACCTCACGGCGCTTCGCTCTTGGTGATGTGAGAGCCTGGTCCGGTGAGAACTCGGCGTGCTCCGTCCTGGCTTTGCAGGGATGCGAGGTCAACGGTATAACAACTACGGCATGCACCATTATGAGTACCCCCCCCCCCCAACATAGGCTTGTAGTCTAGATCCAAGTTCACACCTCCTGGGACAAGTACCCCAGTCTTGTGCCGGGCGTTCTGCTTAGTAAACTCCCAGACGTCCCCCGACCACCCAATTTATCATCTCCGAAGTCCCGCGGTACAAGCTACTTTCCTCCCGGGGGGTCATGCTCACCACAAAAAGTTCAGGGACGACTTGCATATCCTAAGATCCTACTCACACGCCGGCATGGAGCGTACACCAACGTCCAGCTTCTCATGTACGCTCCAATATGGGTTGCTACCCCACTTGCGCTCCCGAGTAGACCTGTCTGCCGAAAGTTTGGCCGACAATTCCTTGCTGCTTTGTACTCGCCTCTCTCCAATCGAAAACAATGCATTGTGCGTGCCGCACATCTAGCTCCGCAGTTTTTTCGTGGTGGGAGCCTATGTTGGAGGCGCTGTTTAGCGTCGGTGAGCCGGCAAAAGAACTGAAAGGAACCACAACCCCCACCGGGCACTCGGATTGGGAAGGCCGAGTATTCCGTATACCTTCCTGAAAAAACACGAAAAACAAGTGGCCGCGGTCCAGTTGCTGTAGAGATCATGAGGATGGTGAAGAAGCCGGGAGGATGGAAGCAGAAACTGTGGGAGACAGGTTGGAGCTGCTGCTGCTTGGGATTCCAAGGGACATGACGAGGATAGAGTTCAAGAACTGTTGTGACAGGGAGGGACTGCACTGCCTAGCAAGGGGAGACGTAGGCAGAGAGCATGAACATTTCCGGTGAAATTGACCAAGGGAGACAGCCAAGAGTGCTTGGGGGTTGACATCGAGAAGCTGTCGAACTACGTAAGGAAGTTTGAATGGAGGGTTTGCATCGCGAACATGACAGAAAACAGAGAAGGTAAGGAGACAAGAGGCGAGGGCGATGGAGGCAAAGAAGGGACCGGGCGGGGGAGGCGAGCAGGCAAGTCAGAAGAACGCCAAGAAACAGAAGAGGAAGGCGAACGATAGAGTGCGCAAAATCTCCAATAGGGAAAAACACAAGCTGAGAGTGGGGTCGTGGAACGTGTGCGGGTTCGCAAGGAGTGAGCGCAAGCGGTTGGAAAACGTGGACCAACTAGAACAAAGCGATCTAGATGTAGTGGGGATCCAAGAGACGTGAGAATTGAACGATGGGGACGTGGTAAGCAAACTAGGGAAATGCCGGTGGGTAGGGAAGGCAAGAAAGGGCTTAGACCCGAAGAAAAGGGGGGAGGGGGGAGTTGGATTCCTGGTCAAGGAACACTTGTTTGACGTGGTGCAAGTAGTGGTGAAAACGGAGTTCGAGGAAAGCCTATGGCTCAAGATACCTGGGGAGCGGGGTGAGAAAGATTTGTTTCTAGGGAACGTACACGTCCCACCGTCGTCGAAAGTCGCAAGCAAGGTGCAGGAGAACGTTGGACAAATTGGGGAACATGTCCAGAGGTTCAGTAGGAAGGGAGAAGTTGTCATGGTGGGCGATTTCAACTCCAGAATAGGGAAAGCTTCCAGTAGAGGACAGGCGATCGGGCAGCACGGAGAAGACAAAGTGAATGGCAATGGAGTGAGGATGCTTGAATTCTTGGGAAGCAACGAGCTGATGGTGTTGAACGGTAGGAGGGAATGCGATAAGTCGGAGTTCACCAGGCAAAGGGCAGTTTGCAATGAATACTCGATCCTCGACTACATCCTGGTAGATAGGTTGAGCACACAGATCCCAGAGCTCCACGTAAGTGCGATAGATATAGGTTCGACCGACCACTTCCTCATATGGGCAACCATCGACCGATCTAGAATGGTGGAGAGTAAGAAACAGAGGAAAGTGTTTCGGTGGAAAGTAGAGCGTTTGGGAGACGAGGGGACACGGGATGGATTCTAGAAGGGACTGGCTGATAGTGTAGAACCCTTCAGGAAACTGCTGAGAAGCGTCGAAGACGGACAGGTAGACGTACAAGCAGCAGGGGGCAGGGTGATTGAATGGTGGGAGTCCATAGTGAACACAACGGCGGAGAGAGAAGTGGGAAAGAAGGTGGTACGATGTGGGGTATCGGTTAAGTGGTGGGATGACGAGCTGAAAGAAGAAAATAGGGAACGTAGAAAAGTCTTCAAGCAGTACCTGAGTGAGGGGTCTGAGGAGAGTTGGGAAAAGTACAGGGCCAAGAGGAAACAGGTGAAGGGACTAGTGAAAAAGAAGAAAAAGTGCATTGGGACGAAGTAGTGCAGAAGGCCAACGGAGGCCTGGAGGGGAACGTCAAGCAGATGTGGGAAGGGATTAGTGGGATGGTAAAAAAGACCGCGCAAGGGGGGGATACAGGGGTAGCAACTTTGCGAGGTGTGAACGGTGGACTAGTCAGCAGTGGGGAAGGGAAAAAGGGAAGTTCTAGCAGGACACTACAAGACACTTGGAGTACCTTCGGAGAATGAAGCTTTTGACCAAGTGTTTAAGAAGGAGGTGGACGCATGGGCCCAGAAAGAAGAAGAGGCATCGAAGGCAGACGTTGGGAACGTAGAACTAGAAAAGGAGTTCACTGAGGACGAGGTTGACGCCTGTGTGACCAAGCTGCAGTGCCACAAAGCAGCAGGGGCGGATGGGATAGTCAACGAGTTCATGAAGTTTGGGGGGAAGGGGATGATCCAGCTAATGGTACTGCTGTACAACTGGGTGTGAAAAAACGAGTATGCGCCAAGTAGATGGAGGGAAGGAGTGGTTGTGAACTTGTTTAAGAAAGGAGAAAAGACTGGCCCAGGAAACTACAGGGGTCTCACACTGTTGAACACAGTAGGAAACGTGTTCTGTAAGCCGCTGAACGATAGGTTAGTGGGAGTATTGGAGAAGGAACGTAGCATTAGTGAGGGCCAGGCAGGTTTCCGACAGAAGAGGGGGGGTGTAGACCACGCATTCACAGTAGGGAACATCATCCAAGGTAGAAAGAGGGCGGGAAAGCCGACGTTCTGCTTCTTCCTGGACGTGAAAAAGGCATACGATACCGTATGGAGAAATGGGCTGTGGAAACAATTGTCCAAGTACGGGATCAAAGGGAAAATGTAGAGAGTGCTGAAGAAGATGACCTAGTGTACGAAAAGCGCGGTCATGCTAGACGGAGAACTGTCTAAATTCTTCGACACTGAGCAGGGGGTCCCACAAGATTGCACGCTGTCCCCAACATTGTTCCAGGTGTTCATCAAAGATCTGTTGGAAGTCGTAGAGGCAGTCCGGAAGGGAGTACAAGTAGGGGACACGGAAACTTCGGTGTCAGGAATGCTGTTTGCGGATGATTTTGTTGGTATGTCGGACACTCCTGAGGGACTGCAACTGCAAATTGACGCGGCGAAGAAGTTTACTGATACTTGTTGGAGGTTGTCTGCCAACGTTAAGAAGAGTGCCGTCATGGTATGCAACGAGGACAGGGAGGAACCAGTAGAACATAGATGGAAGTGGGGGATCGAGGAGATTGCAGTAGTGGACCAGTACACATACCTCGGAGTAGAGATCGCAAAAGTCTGCTCGTGGAATGCACACATGTCCAAGGTAGCGGAAAGGGCAAAGCACGAGCAGGGAAGCTGCACCCAATACTCGCAAACCGGCACCTCGATACACGCATCACATTGACGGTGTTGAAGAGTGTAATCGTACCGCCGCTAGAGTACGCCGGAGAACTATGGGAAGGAAATAAGAAGGTAGTGAAATAACTCGAGGCGGCGCAGATGAAAGCAGCGAAAATCATCCTAGGATGCTCCAAGCGCACAAGTAATGCAGCCGTCAGGGCAGAATTGGGGATCCCATCCCTACGGTCGGGAAGAGACGTAAGGAAGCTGACATGGCAGTATCGCATGTGCGGGATGGGAGAGGAGAGGTTGCCGAGAATAGTATGGGAGGCGAAGTGGGCAAACAAAAAGAGGGGGTAGACAACCCACGGAATGGGTCAAGGTTGTAGAGGACGTATGGAAGGGGTTCGACATCGATGAAGATGAAACACTGGAAACGGAGGGTCTACAGGGGTTCAAGGAGAAGATATCTGTTGCTTCTGCCGAGAGATAAGAACAGAATCTAAGGAAAAAAACCCAGGATAAGGAGGGTCTAGAAGTGTACGGAATGTTGAAAGAAGGAATAGGGTTCAAGGATTACCTACATGGACCAATGGATGCAGGGACAAAGCTTAGGGTCAAATTCAGGACCGGGGACATAGGCCTTCGAGAACGTCGACGAATATATAGGACGGGAGACGACGAAGACGACAAGTTCAAATGTGATTGCGGCTTTGAATGCGAAGACCGTGTTCATGTAGTCGCGGAATGTCGGCTGTACAATAAGGAGAGGGAAGTGTACATGACTAAGCTGGGAGAAATACAAGGGGAGGTACAGGGAGATGTTTGAGGCATGGAATGGAGAGGAGAGGACGGTAGCTGTACTGGGGAGTAGGAAGTGGTTTGAAAAGGCGGGAAGGGATATCGTTAGGAACGACAGACTAGGGAAGCTGACATTTTTGAGCCACCTTTGGCAAAACGATTGGCCATCGGTGGTCGGTCCTGTGGGGACAATGCCCCGTCCTCTCGAGGAAGCGTGGCAAGCAAAACATGAATACGCCCCCCTCCCCGAGGGACGGCACCATGCGCACAAGTGGCAATCGATGGTTCTCTCATTGGTGGTGTCTTCCTTCGACGCAAGCCTTACTGACGTAGACTGCCAGCAACATACACTCACCTTTGTCGACCGCTGGTCTGCGAACAGCGGGGACAGCTTATTGAGCAACAAGTTCTGGCGAGTCTTAGTCTTGCTGAGCTCCACAACGTCAAAGAGGACCGGCGGACGCGATATTTTTCCCACGACCTGGAGTTTCAGAAAACAGGACGTTTGGGCACAGGCGTAGCAGGGTAGGTAAGCATACGGCTGTTTGCAGTCTTCTGTCTCAAGATATCCGTGGGTGTTGGGAAGGCGAACAGCTAGTTGGCAGGTGCTTTCAAATCGTTCTCGAAAAACAAAGGGCCGGAGAGAAAAACACGAAAAATGACGTGGTCGTAACAACCGGGGGATGCCTTCAAAGCTAGTCTTGACACCTTTTCACCACTTCAGCCTGCCACGCCTTCCGTGTTGACGTGGCAAACAGATGTACGGAACCTGCAGGATTCAAGCGTGTGGAGCCATGGGACCATGTGACAGGGGAGAACACTACTGTCCTTCATGCTGCAAACCCGGTTCACGACCTCCTCAACAAACAACTCCAAAGAGCATGCATATCTTGAGAGCATACCTTGATGAGCGAAATAGATCCGTGTTCAGACCCAAGCTGGCGCCCGCTGAGGTGCACTACTACCATGCTCCCCATGCAGACCTGCTGCAAGGTGCGACCGAGAGCTCCGTCGAGAGAAAGGGTAGCCAGTGCCGTATTGTAAGAACTCGAGCTGTCGATCAGGAGGTAGGGGGGTTGGGTCGGGGCGGAAGTCTCCTCTGTGACCGGCGCCGATCGTTGGCGTTCGCTAAAGTCCGAGTCGGGTCGCGTCTGACCCTCGACGGCAGCATGGCTCTTTGCTGCGGCAGTTTCTTTTCGGGTTCGCTGCTTTGCCGGCTGGAGTGCGGCTGGCGATTTCGTTGTCCGGGTAGCCCCCCCCCGCGTGGCATCGATCTCGAGCTTACCGGTGCTCGCGTTGTATCGAACCCCCTGCAGGTCACCACTGACGAGACTGGCTCTCAGATCGTGGCCACGCAAGTCGAGAGTATTGTTATACTTGGACTTGTACGCCTGGCCGACTTCAGAGAGTGAGAGTGGCCCTTTGGCGATTGCCAGCGCTTGTAGGCTTCTTGAGAGGTGCGTCCAATCGGGCGAGCCAGGGTTTGACGGGGCTGTCTTGGCTGCAGCTGCTTTTTTTGTCGTTGGGGTTGTCTTGCCCGTGGTTTGGACAGGTGCTTTAGCTTCCCTCACGCTTGCAATTGGCGTCTCCTCGAGCTCTACAGTTTGGTTGCTGGCATTGTATCGGAGCCCCCGAATGCTGCCATTCTCGATACTGCGCTTGAGCTTTTGTCCATGCAGCTGAAGTGGCTTATGATGCATAGACGAGTATCGCAGGGGGACAACATTGATTGGAAGAGAATCCGTGGTAGAGATGAGAGCTCGTAGACCGTCTGACAGCTGAGTCCAATTGGGTGAAACTGGGGCCGTTGGAGCTGAAGCCGGGACGATGTTTTTCACGGTTGTGGGTGGTACTTCAGGATCCCTCATTGGTGCATCCAGCGGGTCCTCAGCCTTCGTCAATAAGAACGTGCTTTCACAAGGGGCGAGTGCAGATCCCATTCCCTCAAGACGAATAAGAACCGTAGGATAGAATTGAGGAGGTGTCGTTGACAGGAAGCCAGCTTCATGGACATACTTTCACTTTTGGGTTCTCCGTCCAGCAAGTTGTTTCTTCCTGGCCTCTCAGTCCTTCTGTCGACCCCTCACAGCGTAGCATTTTTTTCCTTTCATTTTCTTCTCGGAATTCCGGTCTCTCTGTCTCGCTGTCTCTCTGTCTCGCTGTCTCTCTGTCTCTTTGTTTCTCTTGGCGGACGCGCCTGCGCAACACCCCGCAAGCCACCCCTCTACTCCCGCAAGTATCGGAAAGAACAAAAGAACCGACAATGCTCCTGCTCTCTTTCTTTGTGTTCTCTCTCCGCTTCCTTCTTATTCATCTGTACTGCTATCCCTCCCTCTGGCCCACCTCTACTCCTCCCCGTTTGCTGGTCTTGATCCGTTCGGATGCTTCTGTCGTGGACAAGAGTCAATCTCCTTTTATTATTCTCGACCTTCTTCCTTTTTCTATTCCGTAATACCTTCCCCATCTTACATTTTCTTCCTTGATGTGCTTACGTAGATCTTTCTTTGTAATCGTTCTGACAAAATACCAGGTTGTGCAACACCACCTTCCACCTCTGTCTCTTGAAAGATGCACCTGCGCATCACCCCACAACCAACCCCTCTACTCCCGCAACCGTGTGTATCGGAATCTTCCTGCGCCTTACCCTCACAATGCGCACTGCAGCTGCGTTTCTCTCCAGATGGATGCGTTCGCGACTTATTCTGGTACTCGCTACAAGCCGATGTATGGATGCAGGGGTTCACACTGGCTATAAGTCGGAATTATTCCGATTCTCGCCTTGAAAATGCCGGCGTCAGCCCTCTTCCCTGTCAATTCTTCCACTCCCTCAACATCCCGCCTTCAGCCACTTCGGGAGCTACTACTGCTGTAAGTTGCTCGTCTTTTCTCATCTACGTGGCCTCATTTGTAAAGTCTGTCGTCTTTAGCACCATCACTCTACACATTATTTGATTTGACCTTCGTCACTTCGGCGATCGCACGAAGCGCCAACAATCTGAAAATAACAATAACATACTTGTAGAGAGCCTTCCACATTGCACATGACACATATGGCACATGATGGCATACAAGCTCATGTCAAATCCATCCTCAATTAATTGGGCGGCGGGCGCTGGTGCCAGGTAACTGCGATGCCCAAACCTTAGAAGCACGCACACTAGCAGCAAACACTTAACTGTATAGCAGTGTGAAGCCAACACAGCAGTAGTGTGACAATGCCGCATCAGGAAATGGCGTGCCGTCGTGCTTGACGGATGGGCTGCGCTCATCAGCTGGTGGTGTCGTCTAAACATGTGGACTGCTGTAGTTGTGCTCTCACATCTCACACGTAAAAACTCTGACAGTCCCGCTTGATCTCCATGAGGTGCGTGTGATTGCTGCTGTGTTAAATTACTGCTGTACACGTTGACGGGCACACTCACCTCGCAGGGCGGGGGTGCAAGGGGATGCGTGCCTCACGACCTCTTGCGCAACCCTGGCGGAAGTGCTCCTGTCGATCTGTCATCGCGCGCGCGCTCTCTCCCTGCGATCCAAGCATTGCCCGAAGACGTTGACCAATGAAAATCCTTTACTACGGTCTCCAGACAGGGGGTGAGGACGAAAATGTCAAAATCACTTGGGAAAAGCAGCGGGCGGGACATGTTGTGCTGACATGACCTCCACTGCGCTCCTGCTGTGCTTGTGCTGGCTGACTGTGGCATATATCGGCGCCTTTAGTCCAAGCATATCCGCAGTCCGGCAGCGAAAAGCGAATCTCAGGCAGCAGCGGCGTTCGCGGAGTCCTGCTCAGGAATCGATCATGATGATGTGCTCTTCACAGGGCGTTGACACGTGCAACCGCCGCTACACAGTAAGGACGTGTACCGGCAGCGAGGACTACTCGGCGGTGATCGGCCTCGTCGACGCTTGGTGGGGGGGAAGACGAATGTCGCCGATGCTGCCCCGGCTTTTCTTCGATAATTTCTGCGACACTACCTTCATGGCGGTGATCAGGGACGAAGCACAACCAGCGGAAGCACAACAAGCGGAAGCGGCAGACACGAAACAGCGGGACGAAGTTGTTGTGGGGTTTCTCTGTGGATTCGTCTCCCAGTCCAGGGCCGGAGAGGTAGGTACCCGAGCATTGTCCACACACCTCAATCTTTGGCAAGCCTGTTTTCTCCTTTCGCCTTGAGCATGCAGCTATCTTGGTGTATATGCCAGCAAGAGGACAGATCGGGTACGTCCGCAGTGAACGGAGCAAGAGTCACACCTTGGGTTTGCGCATGTACGAAAATGCACTGGCTCTTTCTCATGGTAAGCAATGACGCAATGCAACGCTGAACACGCTGTCGTCGTGCCTCCGACAACGTAGTGGGTTCTTGGTTGTTCAAAATGAGAAGGAGGTGGTCAGAAGACAAGGGGAAATATTTGTGTTTGATCACCGTATTGGACACGTGTCGACGGAGAGAACGGCAATACGGAGTATAGATTTGTACGATGTAGACAACACTCTAAACACACACCAAGTTCTTGGAAATCAGTGCCCACCGTAACAGCAGCGTCGAGATCCAAGTGAGTGAACTGGTCCGGAAAAGGGGTAGATGATCCAAACCATTACTTGGGCTTGGATGCCAGTTTTTATCATTGGTTGTTGTTGTTGTTGATGTGGTTGATATTATCCTCCATGTGTATCCGTCGATTGACTTTTACCAGAATCGGTACACCTTCGCATATGATGTCAGCGGCAGGATACTGTTAAGGAGTGTGGCTGCTAGCATGAATAGGGTACATCTTTTTGTTGATAGGATGTGGATTGGTCAGGAGGTATACCTTCTGACCCATACCCCCTTCGAATTTTCTACTCTGTGTACCCCCTGAGATGAAGTTGGATCCCCACTTCATCTCAGACCCTTGCTGATCGTCTCTCAGCAATAACAAGCAACTTTTCCCATCTCTACGTGGTCGTGGACAAGCCTGTCAACGACAGAACCTTCATCTACCTCTAGGAGCAAGCAACCGTCTACGGCTTCGCCTCCCTTAAAGTATGGCGTCAGCGACAGGATACTGGTTCGAATCTCGTTGGGTGCACATGTTTTCTCCTGACTTGGACATGTTCCCATGGACACAATGTGTGTCAGTCCTGAGAACACCTCTTGGAGTCGATCCTACAAAGAACCTTGTGATACTTCCATCGAATTACCCGTCCTGGCCACAAGAGGGTCCCAGTTGAGGGTAAATTCTATGGGTGGAGAGTGTTAAGGTGAACCCGATTCGCAGGGTATCCGTCGATTGACCTTTACCAGAATCGGTACACCTTCGCACATGCCAATAAACCGGCGGTGGGGAAGGGCACGACCGAAACAAAAAAATACGTGGACGGTGTGATGTATGTCGTCGCAGAACGTTGAAAGTTGATGGCAAGCACCCAAGAGGAGCGGAAAAGCGGGGGGTGCACAGGGAAATAAGTAACCATTTCCTGTTCAACGAAACCTACATGCGAAGGGTAGGGAAGAGGGGTGTTACTGGATAGCGGTCAAAGTTTTGTTGGCGCATCTCTGGGGTAGCATATGGTATATTTGTGTATGGGCGTCGTACTAGCGTTGCGTGAGCGCTCTATGAAAAACTTTGACTTCTCCGTTGGCATGGATGTCTTAAGGTGTATCTGCCTTCTGCTCCCACTCTCTCCATGCGAACGCTTATCTGACCTGGTCCAAACAACAACTACAATAGTGTGATTGCTTCACAGCAAGGAGTAGCGGACCTGCTCCCTCCCCATTGTAATTGTAACAATGTGGCGTCGTCAACAGGACACCAAGCTGCGCGTGAAATGGCAACGGGTTTACGATCCCCATTCTCTGAACCACTCAGGCACGACAACAACAACAACAACAACAACAACAACAACAACAACATAACATCTGCAGCATTTTCGCTCTATTTTACCGAACTATGCCGCGGTCTGTGCATGACTGTCCCTACCGAGGTCGTTCGCTCTCTGTGGGGTGACTAATAGTATAACCATGCGTCATGTGGAGGTCAGGATATGGAGATTCAGGGAGCACAGATACACGTACATAAAGAGTAGGATCTGAGAGGATATGTGATAATAGATTACCGTTCTTCGAGGGTCTACGACTCTTACGATTCCCAACGGCTGCGAAGAGTTGATGAATCTTTAGGAGAATGGGAAAAGGGTCCGCGAAGGCTCGCCCACTCTCCTCGCCACCCTAGCTGGACTGAGTTCGCTCGGTCACGCTTGGCATTCCTCGCCACATTGCACCAAAGGAAATAGCCAACCTCCGGTGGCAGGACATAGCCACCACACTCCCGGACTCTCTGCTCAGCCAAGAGTAGACCGGGGGAGCCTGATTACTACTGTAGAAACCGTGTAGCGCTAGTCTGTCCGGGCTGAAATCTAACGAACAGCGCACAGCACGGCTCTCTCACCTCTTCTCTCTTTTGTTTTGGAATTTATATGTTTTTCAGGCGCACGCTCATTTCATCGGCATCGACCCTGCTCACAGAGGGGCGGGGCTAGGGGCGCTTCTTTACGATCAGTTCTTTAAGGCAGTCCAGACTCGTGGCTGTACCCTCGTTCATGCCGTGACCAGCCCTGCTAATACCGCATCCGTGGCGTTCCACAAGGCGATCGGCTTCGAAGCAGTACCCGCTATTGCGCCCGATGCAGAAGGTGACGAGAGAAAGGGGGGAACTGGAAAGGCGAGATCGAGCTCAGGAGCGTCGGAGCATCGTTCCTTGGGTGAACAGAGCGGAAGAGTCCCTGTTGATAGAGAGCTTGTACACATCGACTATGATGGCCCGGACGATGGGGATAGAGTCGTTCTCGAGAAGCGTTTGTGAATTGCATTGACTGGTGTTGTACGGGAAGACTGCCGAAGCCGCACGCCGTAAATCACGTCTAGTCGAGGCGAACGAAAGCGGCACAGGAACTAGTAAGGCGAGCAACAACCCATGGGTCTAGTGCTAGTCCCACTGAGGGAGGCAGGGGGGGCGTCGAGCTCACTCAAGGAAGGGGGCCGTAGAAGTAGTGTGTGGTGCTTGCGCTTTGCCCTCTGACAACATACCCGAAGAATCGTGAGCAGTGTGCGGAATCTCGTCTGTCCACTCAATGCTCGTTTGCCAATAACTTGGTTCGCTTGTTGCGCCCGATCTAGCCGGAGGGCATCGGAAAGCACATCGCGACAACAAAATCGAGTTCAAGCCTCCCGTGAATGAACCCTTATGACTTTGCCGTGCGAGCGGCTTTGTAGAAAGAGAATCGAATGGAATCGATTGCAAAACATCACACAGGTCCGAGGAAATGTTTCAAGCCCACCATTTCTGGGAGGGAACCGCACAACACGGCGATCGTCATCCCGTCACCGGCACGAGGACGAAAGGAGAATGCGGTGATATCTAAGTAATCTATTGGAACGTGTCCCGCGCCACCACGTCCACACAGGCGTAACGGGCAAGTTGTGTGTGTGGTTCCCAGTCGGCAAGCTCCACTACCCACGCAAGCACGTTGACCGCACTATCATGGCGCTCCCAAGGCGTGATTTTCCGTCCATCCTGTACACTTTCCGGCGTCCGTGTGTTATTCCATTTTATGGAACGAGTACAGATAGAATACACCGTCTTCGTTTATTCTCCCGCGGTTGGTGGGATCATTTATCCGACTACTTGCCGGTCGAAGGGAAGAGGATGTTGGGGAACTTCTTGCACACGATGACGAATTCTGAGGTAGCGAAAACAACGGAGCAACCAGGGCAACAGTGGGGTTGGGATGGGTTGACGGTCCAGTAAGTTTGTGCGATTACACGTGCAGGGTAGTGTGGACAACACTCACAGGATTCGAGCCGATAAAACTGGAGGGGATCAGGGGCGGCACGATACACTGTACAGAATTGGTGTAAAATAGGCGTGAGAGACGTCTAGTCACGATGTGCCAAGCAGGTGCAAAGTATGTTGTTTAGGCAGCTACAATAATCTCTGTGGTACGAAGTCACACTACAAGTGAGGGTGGGAATCGTATGGTCGCTACCTGGATGTCTCAGGGCTTTAGCATCAACAAGGAGAGGGTGGGGTAGACTACATGATGTAGGCAGTTTGGTTGCCAGAATTGTCAACAGGGTTACGGATGTTTGTATGCACCTGTGCACACCGAAAAGCACCAAATTACTCTTGGAAAATGGCAATAATGCTACTTGTAGGCCAAAAATGAAGTGTGAGCGCGGTGAGAGTTGCCAATCAGTTCGGAAGGGATAAGATATTAGGAATAACGAAGAAGGGGTCGGATGTTAGCCTTCTCCTGTCTCGCTCTCGTGTCAGCAGTCACGAAACAGCAGTATACACCTGTATGCATACAGTACCTTTCTATCTATCCCCGTTCATGACGCCATCGTATGCATACCAAGCCACCAACGGCACTTAAAAAAAACAATTGGGGAAGCAGCCGTGGGTACGCGGCAATCTACAAGATATTAGGATAACGCAGGAGGGGTCGGATGCTGTTTTCAATCTTACCGTCGAAGGTTACGACTCCGTCGCCGTCCTTGTCTGCCTGAGCCATGATGGTGTCCGTCTTTCGAGCCACCTCGGCCTCCGACTGAGCCATGTGGTTGGCCTTCAAAATTCGGGCCAACTGTGCCGGGCGAGAATACATAGCGTGGGTGCAGCATTGCGAGGGCAGCAACGACCATTTCAAAAGGGGGGTATCAAGCACTCCCTCTACTGTAAACGCCAGAAGAAAAAGTTGTTTGTTTTTTGCAATCCTTTGGGGAGCAAAACGGTGGCACACATTCGTGTGCTCTAGGAATGCTTGTGTGACCTTCCACATTTCATTCGCGATCGGTTTACATGGCCTTGGGTCTACATAGGAGAGAGTCAACGTCTCGTACGCTTCTTCGCACAACAATGTGTTGCATATGTTGTGGTTTGTGCTATATGTAGCAGGACCCTAAAGAGCGGAGGCACGCGCATTGTTCTTACAAGTTAGAAAACCTCAATCCTTCCCCAGGATATAGTCCTGATTTGGTGGCAGATCAAGTTACATGAACAGGTGCAAAGCACAAGAAGCGAAGCGGCACTGATTGCGGTGCCTGGATTCAATCTCTATTACTATAAATAGATAATATAAAGCACATGCCGATCTAACCAAACTTTCGCCGAGAAACCCTTCGAGGATTCCCATTAGCAGGGAACGTTTAGAGCAGAATGGTGGGAAGCTCCCGCCTTTCCTATTGTACCATGTACGTACCTCTTGTTTGGTGATGACGCCGTTGCCATCCTCGTCGAAGATCATGAAGGCGAACTTGAGCTTGTCGTCCTTGCTCGCACCCGCGAAGTTGGTGAGGGAAATCATGAACTCTCTGACGTCGATCTGCCCCGAGCGGTCGCCATCAAACAGCTGGAACAGCCCTTCGCACTGGGGTGAAGGGTCCACCTGTTTTGGGCGGCGGCGGTTTCATGGCACACGCCCATCACAACCCAAAGTGCCAATATCTCAAACGGCCGAAAAATGAATGAGCTTCAGCGAAAGAGTGTTTGGGGGAGAGTAGGCGACCACTTACTGCCTAGACTACTTCATGGATGAAGCATCCTACTCATAACGGCCAAAAACAAATTGCGGTGAACTGCGCTAACGGCTCCGTGGCCACTCAGTCAGGAGCGAACGACAAGCCACAAGTAGCGCGGCATGCATTCTGGGGTCAGGCACCGCAGGAGCCAGTTGTTCTTCGACATATTGAACCACACAGCGACTACGCTAGAAAACAACACGCAGGGTATCATAATTCCACCAAAAGTGTTTCTGTCAAAATAATCAGTGCGGTTGGTTTCGATTGAGACCGGAAAGTAGCAAACACCGAGGAGAGTATTTATCGAACTACGACGGCCACGACTACAATGGAACCGCGTGAAATTATCTACAATTGTGTTTCAACAACGAATGCCGTCCGACAAAATGCTATACCGACCTGCATTATCTCGCAGAACTCCGTGTAGTCGATCATACCCGTGGAGTCCTTGTCCGTAGCCTGGATGGTTTAAGGATCATTCGGGTGCGGCAGGGGGTGGGTGAAGAGGTCACTGAACAGCTGTACTTCATGTTTGCCAGATCTCGCACGGAAGTCTACAACCCATGTGCACATTGGACTTCTCGGCCACTCCAAAACTTCCTGTGTGAACCCTCTTAGCTTTGAGTCTCCTATACTGGCGTTTTTCGAACGAATGGCCTGGCACTGGTACTAAATGAAGCATACGGAACCAATTATCGAGCCGTGCCACCATGATGCATCACCGTGGAGATATGGGTTGGCATGACTACCACCAGAAATAACATGAGCGCCGTGGTTCGTTCCTAGTAGGGGAAAACAGCAACCAAAACCGCGACAGATTATGATTCAGAGAAGGACACGCATGGTCTACGATGACACCGCGCGTGATCGGCAGGCCATGGTTGAAAAGGTTGAAATGGAGCTATATCCAGTGTTACAAGTCTCTGTTATGCGTTCAATGGAACTAGAACTAGCATGGATAGCGGTCGAGCAGACGCTGCATCCAGAAACTACATGCATGCAGAGTGAGACATTGACCAACTCGAAACGACCTCCTCTCTCTCACCTGGAAGCGCTTGTAAGCCTTCTTGATGCTCTCCGGCTTGATGTTGTTGTCCCTTGCAAAGTCGTCCATAGCCTTAAACCCAGATGAGGACAGGAATAAGTGCGTGTTTAGGAGGGGGGTTTAGAATGGGTCAGAAACCCCACAAAATTAGTGTCGGAGAATCGGCCTAAACCTGGGTACACATGTGCCCAGGACATTGGTAGTACTCTATCGTTGCAGTTATCGGCCACAATCTATCAACGTACAACCCGACACAAAATATTCTTGGGCAGGGAAGGTCGTTCCCGATGTCCTTGTTTGATTGTTGTCCGTTAATGCAACCGAAGATTTGAGTTCCTCGGCAGCCGCCCTAACACACTTTCGTGACTCGCGTTCGTTTTGGCGATACAACCTCGCGAACAACGGGTTTATCAGCAACAGCAAAACACGATTTACCCATTACTTGGAATCATGCATGAAGTGTCAAATCGCGCCATGTTGTCAATCTCAATGTCTGATCTAAAGAGGAATTTCGCCCTTGTAATCAAGCCGACCTGTGTGCCTCAGAAGATACGATTTAAGCACGGTGGGAACAACGTCTACCTGCTTCTTTTTGTTGCGTTGCTGCACAACGTTCTGCCCTAGTGGTGCTGTCGTAGCTAGCGCCGTTCCGCCGCCAGGTGCCCCCCCACCTCCCGCGGCTACGCCGCCGGTGCCCCCCAGTCCTGGCGGGGGCGAGTTTCCTCCGGTCACCATCTCATAGAACTCCGTAAAGGACACCTTCGATGTGAGGTGGGGTGCGGTGGGGTGGATTAAGGTGAGTCGAGAGGGTAGCTGTTGTTGTCGCTTGTTGTTGATGTTATTTCTTCAGGTATAATCGTCTTCACGCCTAATAGCGTTCTCAATGCTACGAGCGACCTCAGAATCGGTCGTTATCCAACCGCCAATCGTCGTCGTTCTTCTACCTTTGGGTTTGAGAGGAGAAAGGGGTATATTTGCGTGAGTTTTGCAGCGTGACCGGTGGCGATATTGAGTATCAATGGGACTTTCTCCAACTTAATTCGTCTGTGGTCCCGCTAAATCACATCATACGATTGGTCATCAAGTGTGCGCAAGAAATTAAACTTGGGGAGCGAAGCGAAGCCCTTTGAATATATCCACGTGCTAGCGGTTGAGTACTGGATGGGTTGGTTGCGAAAATACCTGTCCATCGCCGTCCTTGTCCACCATGCGGATCATCTCGTCCACCTCATCGTCCGTGACCTGAAGCAGTCAACACACCACGTTACCATCAAACAACATGTTGGTACATCAGATAAAGACTGTCACAAGTGCTTTCCGGCCAGAAAAGCAAACGGAGATTTCATTCAGCCTCCAGCGGTTGTGTCGGGTTAGCTCAACACCGCCATACCAAGGACCTCCCACTGTACACCCACAATCACTATTATACCTGCTCCCCGATATTGACGAGCACGTGTCGAATCTCGGCCGCCCCGACAAACTTGTTCTTGTCGAGGTCGAACGCCACGAAGGCCTCCCAGATCTGCCAAGCAAAAGGGTGGGGAGATAGATCGCAGCACCGGATTGTAGGCGTTCATTCGAGGGAAGGAAACACAGTGCCCTTCTTGTTCTTAGATTTAACGTCTGCAAAAAGAAATGGTCAGATGCAGGGAAGGACCTACCGCTAACAACATGTTTTTGATACAGTGCACCATGATATTTTCCGTGTAAACCTGACCTTCACCCTTACTTAACATATGTTTTCAAGCGGGGGGCGGCAACTACAGGCGTTTGACAAGGTCGCACGGAGTCTTGGTTGGCCACAAATACTGATCGTCAGGCGGGACGCGGTGCCAACATCATCACATCCTTAATCAGTGTCGTTGTTTCGCTCCTGACGCTGGACATATAATGAAACGGCACGAGCTACATGATATCGGATGCAACCACGCAAAGAAGAACCGTTTCCGGGAACACGAACAGACGGAGTTGCTATTTTGTGGAGAATGTTTCGTACCATCCGTGGAAAAAGAGCGTGTAGCAGTTCTCCCTGTTCCCGTTGGTTTGTTGAACAGAGCTCGGGACTTAAAAGAACAACAAGAGATTTGCACAGATATTCCATGGAACTCTTCGGAGACATCAATTGGCGTGTCCGTTTGGTGTTTGTGCATGTAGTTCGCTCACCTCCTCATCGCTGAACTTGCTGTTGGGATCTCTCGTGCCTTGGGCTTTGGGGGCTCCCGCTGGCCTAGCTCCGGTGGCAACAACCGGCCCTGCTGACAGCCCTGGACCTGCCCCCGCCGCTCCTAAGATGAAATAAGAACCATTGGTACCCAAACCGAATATCGAGCACGGCAACGCCGGAACAACGATCAGGGGTGGGCCAGGTTGTATCCTAACATTGAGAAGCTGTGAACAAATTGAGCTACTCAGGAGAGCTAAACCACGAGTGTTGGAACAGCTCGGCAGGACGAAGAAGTCTCACCAGCTACAGGAGGGTACAGCCAACCAATGCACTACTGTAACTTACCTGGTCGCTCGAACTTGACGGCCACGTGGATCTTCCCGACCCCGTTTCCTGATTTGTCCAGCATCTCCAAATCGCCTTTGAAGGAACCTTTCGACACCCAATCCATGATGTTCACCTGGGAACCGAGCGAAGAACCGGTACAGTTATTGGTGGGTGTTTTTAAAATGCATCAACCAGGCCCCGCTTGTACCCAGCAATATCGCTTCAAGCTGAACAAAGCAAGGTAGAGGCAAGAGAAACGTAGTGGATGTTCAAGACATGTTCTGAACTTTCCTCTCCCCCACGTCAAGGTAGAATCTCTTCGAATCCACTCAGCGTAATACCTGATTAGAAGAAACAACAATAAGTATATACCAGCGTGTCTGTCGTTGATTTCTATTGATTTGCGGACGCTTCGGGTCCATGATATTTTAACATTTTTTGGATAAGTTAGCCTGTGACCACGGGAATCGACCGCGTCAAGCGTTAGATTAGTACGGACAGATGAAGGTCTGGATAGAGAGATCGGAGCGTTTTTTTATGTGAAGACGACGATGACAACAACAACAACAACAACAACAACAACAGCGTGTCGGATATGAGCGCCGATTTTGCCAGAGTGAGCCCAAGCGCTGGTCACCCGTCAAAACCGTTCCACAGAATTCTAGCCTTGAATTGTCTGAATAGTAGAGAGAATGGGCGCAACGCACGGTTGCTTCGCCGGTGGGGCCTGAGTCTTGCTATGTACGTTGCCATTTCTTGACAAACGCCCCAAGCATACAATGTTTTGTCGCCCCAACCCCAGAGCTAGTCGAAGTAGGCCATATAGCCGTTTCGGGCGTGTCCATGTAGGTGAGTGGCTGGCATGTTTGTTCGGCGACAAACACAAACGGAAATGGAGTGCTTGCGCCGGTAAAATTGATCGATGTCTAGCGGAACGCTTCACTTTCATCTCCTCGGAGCGGGAGCGGAAAGTAATTCTTTCCCAGAGCCTACCGGATCGAAATGTACGTGTGTACCAATGCCCAAGAAACTCTTCAAGCCCCCACCGGCAGTGTATACCCTTTGGTTAAGCACTGGTGGTACAGTATTGCTTCGAAGAAATGCATGCCAACAAGTAGCAGCGATATAAGAAGACGCCACGATTGCCCCTTATTGCGGGTACGAGCGGTCACCGTTTTCCGCTCCTACCCCCGTTATGCGGTCACCTTGAGCTCTCCCATGAACTTGTCCTGGCCAACGTTCTCCTTGTCGAAAATCTCGATCATGGCTTCCTTCTCTGATGAGATCTCGAACGCGTGCTCCTCATTCCACACCGGGTTTTTCCCGCCAGTCTATCGTTTTTTGCGCCATTCGTGTCGTGCGCCACAGGCACATCCAGCGGAAGGAGAGAGGTTGGGTTGGGGGCCATGGCGTTAGCCGTACAAAAGGGTCATAATACTTTGCTTCATCTATGTGCGATGTTTCACTTGGCGTTCCGACTCGGGTTCCAGACCCGCGCGAGCTCAGTATTTTTTTTTAGCATGGACCGCTGGATGAGCGTCCTTCAAGATTCCGTCCTATAGCATTTTCGAGCACGCACGTCCCTGAACGTAACATTTCTATGTCCAATCGTACCTTGTGTGGGCGTGTAGAGAATTCCTGCGTGCCGATGACGACTTTGCAGTATGGGTCTGCCTTACCGAACATCCCCGATCCAGCCTGCGTCGGAGTGACGAGGTTGACGGGAAACACAGGAGATGGTTGGAACGAGATGGAAGGGAAAAAAGGGACAGGAGAACGGAGAGGACATGCTTTCTAGCAAGCGAGATAGAGCGGAAAGAGAGGGCGGCGCGGATTCGAGCGGGAAATTTCCTGTGAAGCCACACCGCAGCACTACATCAGGACCAGCATGTCACCCGATTAGATAGGTGTGCCGAACGTACCCACCCAGTTCCTTCGCAAGTGTACCCGGAACCAGCTTAGCAAGGCAGATACAACGTCCTTTGAACTCTGGTGTCACTTCTTGCTAGACTACCGCCTCCGTTTGTAACTTGTTCATCGGAGCAAGAACACATTTGCTACCGACCGCTCAATGAGCAATATGTCGGTCAAAATTGAGAGAAAAACCCGCATCATGGTCCGCCTCTACAAAGCGACAAAATCGGACAGCCTGAGGCACCTTGAGCTCGATGCCCTTGACACATTTGACGATGAGGTGTCCGAACTTGGGCGCGGCGGCCGGCCTCGGTGGTTCTGATCCCATCTTCGATCCCGGAGGTGGGGCGGGAGGGCCTCGCCCTGCACGGCAACCAAACCACCGTTAACGTGCGAAGGATAAGCACAGGGAAGCTGACTCTATTGTCACGGCCTCCTTGCTGAACGGTACCCCTGCGCACTCCATCAACTTCGTTCTCTCTCTTGCTAGGGTCGAATCTGCTGGAGATCGTGGCTCTCGAGACAACGTTGTTCAGGGTCGATGGGGTTTGACATGCTTACGTCCAATGTGCTCAGCACACATGCAGTACCCTGGGGTGATCACCCGAGGCCCAAAGAGGGAACAGTGTGCACTGAACACAAGTATTCAAATGTTCGCAGAGCGTAACAATAGCTTCAGCATCATGCCGTATGCCGTACAACTAGCCCCTGTAATGGACGGATCGAGGTTAACGTTGAGAGTAGTTTGCAGTTTACTGCGCACAAACATAAAGTCCAAAAGGGTAGATATTCTGCTCCCCACGACGATCAGATCACGCCTCAATACCAATATTCCTAGAGTACATTCCATTCTTCACGAATAAAAAAAGCCGAAACGTAATTGTACGAGGAATACCAGACAATTATGACCGACATATCGACGTTCTCAATGCTTGATGATCTTCTTCTATTCGTTAATAGCACCGCCTGATGAGATTACTTTTCAAAAAAGAACAGCGCATAGAAATTTCGGGGGGGATAGTGTATGCCATGGCAGGTACCAACCTCTCGTTTCCTCGCAGATGAAAGTGGCATCCAGATCGGACTAGAAAGACCGAACGAAGTGCCCGTATCCTAACATGTCTATCTAGGTTATCCCCAAAGCCCTTAAAAATCACGATTTCACCACATGAACGCATGTATAAAAAAATCGAACGAAGCAGGATATGATGTAGCTATCTTGCCGCGATTCCGCTTAAAGGCGAGGCCTCATCAGATCTTCGGCCATTTATTAGATGTGCATTTCTTCGTCGTGGTGCACAAAATGGTCTGAAGGTTGGATTCGCTGTTCACCAAACGGCTTTTACCTCTTTGTCGGTGTGATTAGGTGGACTTTCATATTCCGCCTGGTACGGTGCATAGTTACGGATCGCTTCCACAGTTGCTTTTTGGTGATAGCGTCAGTTTCATCATTGAGATCTGCGAGATACAGTACCTAGAAATACCGAGTTGCGACAGTACTTCCCCCAACAAGCATGGACGTTGCACCTCCATGCCACCAGTATATTGGCGTCTCGTTCTCGATGATAAAAATGATTGCTTTCCCTGGATGCGGTCGGCAGAGCAAGCCTTCCACGGTCAAGGTGCGCCGTTGTGTAGAGGAAAACTATTGCAAGCGATTCTTCGATTATTGAGACGACGGAGTTGAGTCACACATATAACTATTTCACCCTGGCAAACGATTTGTGCTGCGGCTAACCATCACACAGACAGCGAGAGGCAACAACATGAAGACATGCAAACCTGGAGGCGGTCCCCTTGGCGGAGGTCCCCTGGGCGGGGGCCCTCTTGGCGGCATTCCCCTGGGCGGGCCCGACGGTGGGCCTCTTGGTGGCGGGCCCCTCGGCGGTGGCCCTCTCGGCGGCGGGCCTCGACCCGCACCCCCGGGACCCGCCACAACCATAGCCCCTGGGCCAGGCGGTGCCATCCCTGGCGGGGGGCCTCTGTTGATAGCCGCAACAAGCACCATGCAAATTGTTTTTAAGCGCCGAGAAATTGAGATGGTTGCGATGTGAGTTTCGCTGCATCGATAGCTGTTCGGGCGTTTGTATTCAGCATCGATTATCGAAACTGCAGCTTGATTTTTCTTCCTCAGGTCACTCTCGAAGGGATTTGCCGATTAACGTGACGGACACGTTGGGGTTGAGGAACATCACGACACTATGAAGAGGGGGGAGACGTGGCACATTGCCCGGAAGCGTTGGTGCCCTTCGCCCTGTAGAGTTTCCCATTCTAATGCGCTGTTTCCAGGGCCACAAACAAATCAGTACCTCGGTGATCCAGGCGGCATCCCTCGCGCTTGCATCCCTGGAGGCATCCCCGGAGGTCCTCTGGCTGGAGCAGCGCCGGGAGCCATGCCAGGCGGGGGGCCCCTTCGCAAGTCACGGTTGTCGTTGATCCGGACAGGCTTTTAAATGGCGCGTGGAGCACACAGCATCAAAAATTCCAACGAGAGTCTCTGTACTTTTCTTGTACCACATTTCAATACGTGCAGGTTGTTTCTTCGCTTAGAACCAGGGACCAAAACCCGAAAGCCCAAAGCGCTTAGTACGTCAGACGGGATCAACGCTGCGTATGAGATGTGAAGCGTATCTGATATGCAGTAATTTGTCAATTTTGTGCCGTGACTCCGGTTGCACGGACAAGCCTACGATAATAGCATGGAGCAGCCGGAGAGGGCACCTGAGGGCTGTGAAACTGGATGATCTTGGTTGAATATCAGTGCTTTGGGGGGGCGACCAGACCCCTGCGAGGGGTCGTGTTTTCGGGAGTTGTTACGAAAAACGGACATGCCTTGAGGAATCAAGGTGACACTTTCCCCGGAGCGCGAAACGGGTACAGACGGCGATCAGCACCAAAATCCAATCACCCCAAAGCTTCATTTGGGGGATTTTTGCCCGAAGGGGGCGCGAAGGTGAACGGAACGTTTTCTGTGACGTTGCTGATACAGCACTCGATGTTTTTCCAATTTGTTGTCTTTTTTGTCTGTGCAGCCTCCGTCAGGCCTACGCCCAGGAGATATCTTGCATAAGGAAGAGCCCACATAGTAGCAGTACTGCACACAACCACCAGCTGCCGCCTAGAGATACCCGCCCTGAGCTGCTTCGGTTCTGTCTACCTGGGTGGTGGCCCTCTCGGCGGTGGCCCTCTCGGCGGGCCTTGCGGTGCTCCGGGTGCCCCGGGTGCCCCGGGAGGTGGTCCGCGTGGAGGGGGGCCCCTGTAACATTATTAACAATTGTAACTTCATATCTTGTCAGAAAGAATGACAGGTGTACAACAAGCACCCCACCTTCTTTCTGATTGGCTTGAAGCGTCTTGAGTCCGACTCTACCAACATTGGTGTAGTGATGTCTTTCGAGAACCTATCCGAAGCAATGATTAATTGGCTGAGCAAACATCAAAATTCAAATGCTGCAATCCGAGCGGAGAATGAACACCAACTTGGCCTATAATTCTGCAAAGCGAAAGTTAGGCAGATGGCCCAACAAGGTTTTCTGCAACAACTCAGCTTTCATATTGTGCGGCATGTTGCATTCGCAAACCTATCGGAGTGGGTCATCAACACACACCTGGGTGATCCAGGCGGCAGCCCCCGCGCCTGCATTCCCGGGGGCATCCCTGGAGCGCCACGAGGTGGTCCCCCCGTGGGTGGGGGGCCTCTGACTGGAGCCATGCCGGGGGCCATGCCGGGAGCCATGCCCGGTGGAGGTCCCCTGTTTTAGAAATTGGGTACCATGTGACGTACCAGGGATGGGCCAAAATTCGAATGGACACACCCGTACTATGAGACATCGCTCGCATACGTTAGAATATGTTTGTCCACCTCCCTAGACGTCTAGTCTGCGCGTGTAGAGAAGTTGACTATGATTCTCCTCTTGGATCTGGGTGGCAGGAAACCATAAATAATCGAAACACGTGATGGTATGCATACGCCACGGCCGCACAATTCACCTTGGCGGTGGACCTCGAGGTGGCGGGCCTCTGGCGGGTGGGCTCTGTGGTGCTCCTGGCCCAGGGGCTCCTGTTGGCGGCGGCCCTCTGATCGGGAAATAATTGAAGCAAGGCAGATCTGAGTCAACTTTAGCAAGCCTATATTCGTTCTACTCAGACATTTCGCACGTAGCTCGGCATGGTGCACACGGCCCTTTTCTCTCTGCAGGAACGGACACGGGTGACGCAAAGGGAATTGGCAGTGTACTGGGAACGGGCATGGATGGGCGTCACGCCGACAAGGATAGATCACTGAGGTTCCTCGTTTGTTGGTTTAAAGGGTGCGCCCAGAAAAAAAATACCAAGAAGAATACGCTTTCGGTGTGGGAGGGCGCCGAGGAACGTCCAAGTCTGCAGAGCAGCATACGCATAGTGGACGGTGGGAATTCATCTGCGTGGCTGCACACCGTGGCCCCGCGGTCAGGAAGCTCAGCAAGGAACTTCGAGTATTCCGTACCACACGCCAAGTTCTAGTTTCCCCCAGCCAACGTGCCGTATAGCGCCAGCTCGTCCGCCAAAACTGTGGGTCCAGCCAAGACATTTACCTGGGTGGTGGGCCTCTCGGCGGCGGTCCTCTTGGAGGCGGACTCTGTGGAGCTCCCGGTGCTGGAGCCATACCCGGTGGAGCCCCCCTGGTTTTTGGACATCCCAATCATAGAGGTGAATAAGTACACTGTTGAGAGCAGGATTTGCGTGTGAGGTTGCGCGTAGTTGTGCGGGGTGGAAGCCGCCTTGAAGTATGTTCTAGTTATGTTTGGAAAGGAACGTAGAGCCCGGCGTATTGCGAAAGTCCAGCTCGCTTCACTTTTCTCGCTCTACATTCAGTGTTTCGTTCATAGCTTTCAACATCACCCGCTCTATTTCAAAGTGATCCAGCTCTGTTCTTTAGCAAGCCGAGGCTGTTCTGAAAAAGCGATTGGTTGGTGGCACCTGCGCAATTCCGACAAGTGCTTTCCAGGACACCCTCAGCGAGATGGAATTGGTCTGAGGGTCAAGGTCAGCAACCGCCCCAGGCAACTACACTGGATGATACTGGTACTTGAGAAAAACAATTTCATTGGTGGGTACTGGCTCCGACTTCTGCAGTCTTGGCATGGGCGTTTGCAACACAAGACGACACCGTTTCATCAATATCAGCGACATATTCAGTACTAGTCTAATCGCAGCAACAAAACTTGCCTCTGTCGTAGTCAGGCTTTTCCGATACCTGTGCACAACAAAAAAATGCGTGCTATTCTCATTGATAAATCATTTTTACGAGCAGAATGTGCTACACACTACACCACGCAGCGCTGTATACCTAGGCGGTGGGCCTCGTGGTGCTCCTGGTCCTGGGGCCCCTGCTGGTGGTGGCGCCCTGATGTAGAAGAACATTACGTGAACGAGTATCGGGCGTTCAGGCATTCACGAAGGTACTCTACTCGAAAAGATTCCTGTGCAGTCAAGTTGATTAAACCATTTCGTGTGCCACTATCTGCTTATGAGCTATCTGCTTATGAGCTAGGTGGTCGAACGGTCAGTCTACACACCCCTAGAGGCCGGTTGTGGGTTCGATTCTCTCTCCGGATTTTTTTTTCCGGGATTTATTTCCAGCAAGCTGTGGTTGAACGCGATCTAGGTCGTAAGTAAACAAACTTCGGCTTCACGGTTGACGAGGGAAGGGATGGCTGAACCCTTCTCGCGATGGAATCTACGGCAAGAACCGCAGGGGAAAGGTGGGGCAATAAAACAAAAACAAACAAACAAGAAAGGTCCTGTGTGACCTTCCTCTTGTGTGACCCCCGCTGATACGTCAGATATATACGCCGAAAGGCGTGTCAACCGGCTCCAGAATAGATGGGACATATACACACACACTATCTAGGTGAATGCTTCCCCCCCCGTCTTCAAGGGCCACAGTGTCGTAAAGGCAGTGCTCATTCAGATTATAGTGCCTTTCGAGTGGACAGTACAAGTAGGTTCAGTAAAACAATTGGTATTGAGGAGGCCGGTAGAGATACTCCAGCACGTACAATAGGAGGGAGCAAGCGCTGTGGGCAAAGAAATTGCCCAAGAGCTTGAATCCGGCGCATCGGGGCAAGCAGAAACTATCAGCACCGACACGCGCAGTCTGTGTCAAAACATGTTGCATCATGCGAGATCGGCTGAGGCTGTTTGTCACTCTGAAATATTATGTTCCTCACTTGATCTAACGTGTAAGAATTTGACGTCCTTACACAAGAATGAACGCATATCAGAATACCAGACACTTTTCGTGTCCACCCGGACTCCTACACGAATTACTCCCACACGAATGTGGTATGCATAAAAAGGTTGTTGTTTTTAGTATAAGTGTAGTGTCACTCGCAACATCATTTACCTTGGTGGTGGGCCCCTAGGGGGTGGTCCTCTTGCCGGTGCACCTTGTGGAGATCCTGGTGCCCCGGGCGGCGGACCGCGCGGAGGGGGGCCCCTTGGAGGAGGACCCCTTGGAGGGGGCCCACGCGGAGGTCCAGATGGAGCACTCATCTATCGATTGTAGTTTACACTTACGTGCGTTGGTGTCAAGCAACTAGCACAGGGTTGACCGAGCTCGTGGCCGCCAGCCTGATCGTCACAGAAAATACAAGGGCTGCCCGTGGTTCATGAGCTTCTCCTTGATCCCTTGCGGTGTTTCAGAAATGAAATTGTAGACGGATTGCAGTCGGGGCTGAGGAGGAGAGGACAGAGGAGGGGGTGAGGTGCGGCCAACGGAAGTGGACAAAATAAGGGAGATGGACCACTTGTAGCAGTAGTTTATCAACAACTCATTCCGGAAACTGAAAGCAGCGGTCTGCCTCGTCTCCGGTGTTCGATTGTTTCCAAGTCCTCAATTTGAAGGCGGCTAATTCTTCCCCAAAATCATGAACATCTCGATATTGTGGAGAGCCCAGGGGATAAAGGGAAAAGTGCGCTGTTGACATCGCTTCGCACAAGACTAAGTAGACTACAGCTGTATACCTTGAACTTTGGGACACCAAACTTGGCGTATCGTTATTAGCATGTATATGGCCTCTCACGGGATTACCACTGTTGTATCACAGACTGGCACTCAACTATTTCCTGGACTACTGTAGACACCTCACACAGCAGGCATAACTCAGGGTGTACCGACCTTGATCCTCCCTACTTCCACACTACGAGTATACCCAACTTGTGCTTAGCGCAAATAATTTTCGAACTGATGAAGAGGTGCATGGCTACTGTTACACAGCAGGTAGGTGTTGCATTGTATGCACCACATCTACCCCTCCAGAGAGACAGTGACCTCCTTCACACCCAAAGCTATAGTTGTTAGCAATGGAAGACAAAAGGGGGGTAGCCAAGCACGGACGGTGTACTGTAGGGCGCTCACACGCAACATGAAACTCGCCTTGCCAAACGTCTCCGTTGACTTTTCTCAAGGAAATCGACGGACAAGAACCAGCGAGCGTCGTCGCCGCCGCGTAGCTTATCGCCAAGGTTAAAAACGTCTTGGCGAAGCCCCTTGACACCGACTGCTTTTTACCATTCAGCCTGGCTTTGGCCCGCGAGGCGAGCGCAAATAAAGGTTCGCCGAGGGACGGCGAGGCGAGAGACGCGAGACATGCAGCATACATGCGGCGGAAAAGTGAGCGTTTCGCAAGGAGCGGTGGGGTGTTCCATTGGTTGGCCTTTGGCGGGACTGTCGAGGTTTGCGAAAGAGCGACTCACGCCAGCGACAGCCGTAGCACGTCGCAGAGGACGAGGGACAGAGTGGCGTGTTGAGAAGGGGTGCAGGATTCATGGCTGCCTACAACACTGCTTTAGCGTCGGGCGCTTTGGAGATGCACGAGGGCACCATCTCACATGCACTGCTAGAAGAGAGCTCTGCCTGCCTCGAGGCCCTTCGACTTGCCGTCACCACGGGCAAGGCAAGATGTTGTGGGCATGTTGCATCTCTGCCGGGCAGACCACCTGATAATAAAGTTCATGACACCCTGAGACGTGCGAGAAATCGTCGGTTGCGGGGTTCTGCTATCGCATGTAAACGAACGAATCGAGAGGAGCATTCACGTGTAATGCACAACACAATCGTTGAATCTCTTGTCGCATCTGCTGGTACCCGTGTTTCGTCATCCAGCTGCAGGTGACGGGGAAAACGCTGCTCAACCCCAAGAAAGACAGCAAATGGGAGCGGGGCCGGACGCGCCAAGTGCTGCACTTCGGGGCACACGTCAGAGGCGGCAAAGCGGTCGGTGCCGAGGTATGTGCTACAGCCTGAGCCTGAACATCCACCGATGATCCCGGCGCAACAGCAGTGTAGCGGCAAGAAACGCGTTGAAGAACTGTCCGTGGTTAGGACCATATGGCCAGCAATTGTTTTGAGACCCTCGGTGTTGGTCTTCACTCTTCTCAATTATAGAAATACCAGAGATAACACGGTGCTGTTGATGTTCTTACTGTTTTTCTATCAATGTTTGACATCCAGGTGGAAGAGATTCCTCCCTGCCTTCTTGAAGTCCTTCGAATGGTCGAAGCCCGAGGCTTGCGTGAGTTTTCCAGTCAGCAAGGTACAAGGTTCCCCGACACAGAGCCAGAACATCACCCTGGCTCTTGGACAATTTGTGCTACTCAGCAGCTAGTTAGCGAGGCTGAATTTGCGCCCGTTTCTGATGCACATGGGACTGCTGTGGACATGCGACTGTGACAGGATGTGATGCCTGGTGGTCTGCTTAACTTGCAACCAATTTGACCGGTGAAAGTCGTTTTCGAAGCTTCTCCTGAAATCACACGTATCGTAGGTCTAACTCATCACCTTAAGGAAGAGGTAGAGCAAGATAGTAGAAAGGTAGATAAGAACTGCCCATCGTGTCGGGCATTCATGTGTTCGTTCCGCTCCTCGCTGTTTTGGCGTCACTAGTTGTAGTGGCAGGCGACCAAGGTGCAGGAGAGGGGCGCGGGAACCGAGTTACAGCCGCCACGGTGGACTTTTTCCGCAAAGGGAGCTACTCCCCAGCTCTAGCGGCGACGGCTCCAGTGTTCGTTCCTCCATCTTCAACTCCGCCCAAATCCGCTCGAGCAGCCGGCACCACGGGGGACAAAAGCTGCCACGACTCGGCTCTTGGAGAAAGCGATTCGGACACCGAGGCGGCGGTTTGCATGATATGGCTGCAGGTGCGAGCAATGTGTTTTGTTTGGACTAGCTTCGTCAAGATTGTTCGTCTAGATCTTGCCCTGCATAACGGCACGGGCGTTTTGGGTTAGGATTGCACAGATCGACCAATGCTCACTGTTATTGGTAGCATCGACTTTGAGCTTGCTAGCAACGCGGTTCGTCAAGGCGGCTGAAAGTATCGCCAAGAAGGAACAAGCAAACCACGTTGCGGGTACTACGTCCCGGGAGTGCCTTCATCGCGCTGTCGGTGGAACCGTTTCGGTGTGTCGGCGCTAACAGGCCGGGGGAGAAGTGGTGGTCGGGAGCGCACACCAGCTGGCCAACTGTAGCAAGGGCCCCCAAGAGAAACGCGCCAAAGACACACAAATACCTCCGATCGAGATGGCCGGAGAGAAGAAGGAAGGGGCACGCGCAGAAGTGGAAAGAGAAAGGGGGGAAGGGCTATTCCCGGGGATGGAGAGGGTATTGGCACCCCAGGGTTCTGTGATGATGTGGAACAGTGCTCAGGCCCAAGGTGAGAACATGATCACAGCCTGCAACGCTGCTAAAGCTGTACTACTGTAGAATGGAGCAAGTGTCGTGGTATTTGGTTCTTCCTCTGCACTGGGAAGCCGCAAATTCCTTGCTTTGGTCCTACCTTGAAAGCTTAACGCATCTCCCAAACACCTCAAGAAACGTGGTCTCGATAGCACCAATATAGTGCAACTGTTGACAATAAGATACAGGAGTGAGAAAGATACGCCACCTTGCGTAGTCAGTCTCGATTGTTTGACCAAGGGTGATAACCAAATATGCCTTTTGGCAGCAGCAGCAGCATCAGAGATCAACATCCCTAGCAGCACACCCTTTTACGTTGGACTTTCCCGTGGGTCATGCATGGCTGTCTTGGTTTGTTTCCCCGAAACTGGGTACGTTCCTGTTTCCGCCGACTGCGCACCCTCCTTGTTGTACAGGTCTCCAAGTAGCTGTTCCGAGCGCTTCTCGGGATGCCATCCTCGTGTCGTTCCAGACACTGACACCAGAGGCCAGCTCGCGTGTTATCGCGAACCGCCGCGAACGGAAAGAGGCGAAGACAAAGTCAAAGATGTTTCGAAAAGCTGCCAAAGAGGCAAAGGAAGCCAAGGAGGCTAAGGTGGGGCAGACCATCGGAATTGCCGAGGAAGCAAGAGGGGAAATGTCGTGCAACAGAGTTAGGTTGCTGGGTTACACGATGAAGTAATTTTGGGATGGTCTCGAGACGGAAGGGCACTGCTTCTCTCTTTGCTGTAATCTTTGCTGTGACGAAGAAGAATAAAGAGGTTGCCGTCGAAGAGTCTCTGACAGATTCGACTGTTGCCGTTGACGTCCGCCTGGTTCTTTTCGCTTCGTCAATCAAGGGGCCCATACCTGGCACCCCTATCGTGGTTGCAGACTGGGAAGAGCAGGGGAATGATGACGGCGACCGGGGGACGAGGAGGAGGCCAGAAAAAGACGACATGAACAGCAGTTGCAATGCTGATGCTGAACGGGGTGGCGAGGACGACGGGAGAACGCCTTCTATCGAGAAAGAGCACGTCCAGGCCGTCTACGACACCATCGCACCACACTGGTCTGTGACCACGCCGTCATTTTTCTTCCGCAACAACAGAACTTTCTTTCTGATACAACATATTCACATGGCAATCGCGTTTATCGTGTTTCGGACCAACACTGTGCGTGCAGCATCCCAATCAACTAGACTGAAAAGCGCAGATGGAGCGAAAGTATCTTTTTTGCGCTTATGTTATGTGCATGATTCAGGGTGTGTTTGAGATGTCGCAGAAACCTTGTTTTGGTGTACAAACTTTCGTGTTGTGCGTTCTCCATACAATATGGGATATACGGTGGAGGAGGGCTAATGACCATGTGAAGTTACGGGCATAATCCATTGCTCCTCACAAAAGACCCGCGAGGAATCTTGTCTCGTTCCCTTATTGCCAAGAAAAAATTACCACCTTCGTCGACACCGGCCCGGAACGACTTCGACGGAGCCAATTTGGAATATGTATCATTATTCATCCGTCTGCTGCCACTTGCACGACTGGGCGGGGTTCACGGCTGCGCGGAGTTCTGTCATCTCATGTTTCGCGCGTGTGCCTGGTTTCTCGCGCCTGCTTTCAGGAGCCACACTCGCTACAAGCCGTGGCCAAGGGTGGAAAAGTTTTTGAGCGAGCTGGAACCGTGCTCCTTCGTGGCGGACGCCGGCTGCGGCAACGGTAAGGCGCCGTCTACTGAATAATTGTCACGGCGCTAGGGGTGACATCGCCGTCCCAAGTCTCTATTTTTTTGTATCAACAATGAGATTTCTAGGGGTTACCTTCTCATGTTACACATGGGATGGGTCAGCCACCAACCATTAAGCATTCTGCTCCGAAATGTGGCGAGTGTGGCTCGCGTCTTCGGTACGTACCATGTTCATTAGGTTGGCTCAGGCGACAAGGTGGATCGAGATTTGTTTTACTTCCTCGTCTTTGCTGAAAGGGACATTTCTTGCGCACCTGCACTTAGACCCGCCAGTCACATACGTCACTTCCTGATGTTCTCCGGGTCCCGCAAGCATGTGGCGTACTCGATCGTGTACACAGGCCATCTCGGTTCAATGCCACTCGCGACGTGCTGGGTTTGCAACGAGCATTCTTTTTCTTGGTACGATGGGAAATTTCTAGCAAAACGGGATGGTTGATTGCGCATTACCTTCCTTCCACCACGCGAAATGGCAAAGCGTTGATCGTACGCAGCAAAGGGTCGCAGAACGCCCGCCTCTTGAAGGCAACATTGGCCTTTAGCGATTGTCCGGAAAGTGTTGGGTAGCTGCAATCAGTCTCGCGCATTTGTTCTTGTTTGAGACTGTAATGTTGTTCCTGTCGACGCTGCGCAGGCAAGTACCTTGGCTGCGACACGGCCGGTGGGTTTCTGGTCGGCAGCGACACAAGCGTGAATCTCTTGCACGTATGCAAAGAACGCCTACCGAAGGTAAACGGGAGTACACGGGTCGCTGTTGTCCGCGCTCGCCGTGGAAGGCGTGTTTGGTGAGCTCAGGGGGTTGAGTGACAAATTTGTCTGGTTCGGGGATGTTTGTGTACGAGGAGATCTGAAGTGATCTCCTCTCAGCCTTGAGTGTTTGGTATATTTTGATTGTTTTGGACTGCCTGGTGAAGCTGTGGCGCCGTTGGCTTCGGCAAGATTTCTGTTGGAAGGGAATGCGTCTTCTCTCGCTCATCGTTGCTGCATAAGTGTGTGATTGTCAGACGATACTTACCAAAGACACACGAGCAGAGCAATCTTTTGCCTTTGAGATCACATCCCCCCTGAAGCCCGCCATGTGCTGGAGTAAATAGCGACGCCGGGGTGCGCAAGTACACACACCAATCTTTGGTACCGTTGCTGTTCGTTTGGTTTCAAGCACCCCTCGTATGGTGCTTCTTGCGGGGGGTGGTGCTTGTTACGGACTTACCGTGCCACATGGCTCTTGGCTGCGAAACCTTACAGGCGGAAGTCTTGGCTAGCGACTGCATGCGGCTGCCGTACCGATCGGGGGTGTTCGACGCGGCCATCAGCATCGCCGTCTTGCACCATTTCTCCTCAGAAGTGCGTATAGCTTGGAATTACTACTGTATGGCGAGGGATAGTGAGGTGGTTTCTTCAGCTATCGCGTTCCCGGCCACAATGGCACTCGAAATACTTATATGCAGTTAATACTCAACACCTACGTAGTCGCGTTTCGAGCTCGCTCAGTCTCAAGAGAACGGACTGTGAGAGTTTTTGAGAGGTCTTTTGTGTGAATCCTTTCTAAAGCAGTACGGGGTCTAGGGAGTCTAGTGTTCAAGTCGACCAAGGACGTGTTCGGGTCTGAACCTGGCAACATTGCGATGAGGTCGGGACCAGGACGGCTGTGCTTTTGTTGCCTCTCTCCCCTCTTCTTCAAACATTTTTGTCTGGTTATTCAAATATTTTTATCTGTGCTGCATCGGCTCACCTCGTACCAAACTTAACTGCACACGGAAGTGTGCTGTTCGCCTATTCAATTGTTGGAGAATGATTTTCAAATATTTCCTTGCCCAATCACGCTACGAAGGTGCGACGGCTGAGGGCCTTGACGGAGCTTTGCCGGCTAGTCAGGCCGGGAGGGAGGTTGTTGGTGTACGCGTGGGCCATCGAGCAGGAGCAAGACTCGAGGAGGTCGGTCGTTGTTCTTGCTACTCTTATCGGTCGGTGGCTTGAAACATCCTGTCGTCGTCGTTACCTCTTGGCTCATGTGTGTGATCATTTGACATTTGGACTGCGGTTACGTTGGGAGTGCGGGAGCTGAGAGTGCCATGCCGTTGATGGCGTAGAACGCTTGACTGTCTCGGACATCATAGGGGAGGGCGGAATGGGTAGAGGTGGAGGTCCGTGGAGGTCGGAAGTGGTAATTGAAACAGGAAGTTGACGGATCCCGACAATGATTGTTTGTTTTTTTTTGTCCTTCACTTCAAATCAGCGCTCACAGCACTAGTGCCGTTTATTCCAACCCGTGGTCACACAGAAGAGCCTCTCTCTACCCTCCCCTCCTGCGGTACTTCGCCTTCAATTTTTAATGCGAGAAGAGTTCAGCACTCTCTTCCCTCTGTGTACACACGAACTAGCGCTATCCACTTGGCCAGGAGCGGAAGCGAGAGAAAAACTCACTTTGCAAGAAAAGCTCGCCTACGCCGGGATTCGAACCCCTGACCTGACCTCTAGAAGGTTACGAGGCTACCAACTAGACCACCGGGGCGACCGGGTCAGGGTGTTGGACGAGAAAATGCATGCTTGTTCTCCCTCTCGTCCCAGAGTCTACGTCAAATTGCAACTAAGTCAATGTACCGATACCGAACGAAGCATACCACGTCGGAACTCGTTACACCCGATCTTTCTTTCTTGTGTACCTTGATTTCTCTTGAGGAACACATCGATGCATACGGTATCCTTTTGACATTGACGGTGTCTTTTTCGTGGTGGGCATGCGTTGCCTGTCACGTCGCCTACCCGTGGGTGCTGTTTTGCCTGCTTGGTACTTTTTGGCTGCACCGATTGCAGGAGCTTTGCCGCCCAGGACGTCCTCGTCCCATGGCAACTTGCTGACCACCACAACCGAAGCCAGGGTCGCGACACGGGCGACGATGGCAACAGCGGCAACACTATGGATGGCGGCCAAGAATCCGAAGAGCCGGCGACTGCCAACGTCGAACGCAGTGGGGCGTCTGCGCCAGCTAAGGGCGCCGAAGATGGAGTGGTGGCGGCGGGGGACAGCAAGAGCCATGCTGGGGGTGTCGTTGCGCCTACCCCCACTGCCCCGCGGCACGGTGTTCGTGTTGACGGGGTGGCGGGCACGGCTGGTAGCGTGGTCTACCAAAGGTACTGCCACGTATACGCAAGGGGGGAACTAGAAGGACTGGTGGAGAGAGTGGATGGTTTGCGACTAGTTGAGAGCTACTATGATCGGTCAAATTGGTGCGTCGTGGCCGAGAGAGACGTGTAGTCTAGCATCCTGGGATAGTGGCGTGCGTGCGGGGGAGGGTGGATAGTCGCCTTTGCCGGCACGTACCACTGAACAACATTGTGGCGTTTAGGCTGCTCCCATAGCAACCCGTCCTGAGACTTAGTGAGAATTTCCCAGGGATTGTTCTTGCCAACTGGGGGCTTGAGGCGTTTCGTTTTAACCGTTTAGTGCAGGTATGCACCAGACATAGAGGAATCTAGGCGATTCGACGGTACAGACAGAAAAATGAAATCCCGTCTACACACGTGCACACGTGCCATCGAATGCAGCCTTATATACTGCCACCACCTTCGTTTCTGTGGCTCGGAGAAACGGTGGCGGGTATGGGAGGCGGTCTTGTGTTCGTCGACCACCACGTCGAATAGTTTCCCTCTTCAATCTCCACTCCTGTAGAACACCTTCCCTATTCACTCTCATCAATGCCTGTTTAGACTAGTCAATCGTGGACTACGCATGGTATTCGCTGCAACCAAGCAAACCGTCGTGGGATTGCCTGCCTTCCACAATTTTCCGTTCTCTCGACGGCGCCGCGGTGAGACGAAGTCTACTCTGTCTGGCGTCAACCCGAAAACGCCCCCTTTAGGTGTATGAATACATTCCGTGAAGAGCGAGCAGCCGTCGGTTTCAGAAATGTCCCTTCCTGTCCTCGTGCTGGAAGGTAGTGCCACCATCCCGCCTTGAGATTGAGAGTTCGTGTTCGGTACGGGAGGTAACCCAGCGGTGCCGTACGGACGACGGTAGGAGCGGAAAGGGACGCCGCGAGTTAGTTGCACATTTTCAACCCGTGACGAAGAGCCCCCGGAACTTGTCCGGAGTCATGCAACGGTAGGGATAGCACATTATGGCCGAGAACCTTCGGTTATTCAGATGAATAACCAACCAATAATCTTCGAATATCAACTCCGATTTCAAATTTCAATCGTGTTTCATCTAGCCCATCGGATTACCTGTCACGTCATATTTTTATGTTGTGTCAATGTCCATTTCAGGCTGAGATATGGAGTTTCTCACGTTTGAGACTCAGAAGGGATTCGTGCACCCCTACCGTTGCATGAGTCTCCGTGGCGACGCTTGTTGTGTCGTACGTAGGGTGTGTGCACGGGAGAACGACACCGGAACGCCCCTCCTCCCGCTGGGATTCAAACGTTCAAGCAACGTTCGTTCTATAGCTTGCTCCAGCTCAACCAACGCAATGAACTCAAATTTTCGCCATTCACGTGAGTGAGTGGGAATACTGCTGAAAACTGATATGCGGCTAGGAAAGCAAATGCTCGGGTATCAGTACACCAAAAGAACAACCGCATATATGTTCTCAACACGACGTATGTCTACCTGGGACTGGCGACGTACGAAAAGTTGCTTCAACTTGGGCCTTCAGTCAATATCGGATCCTTCGGGATGGTGGGTTTGGCGAGCGACTTTTGGAATACTACGACAAGCATCGTACCTAATCCAATATGTTTCGCCACCTCTATCGTCACCATACTCTTCTGGTCGTGACTCTCCAATCCACCTCGCATGGTCCACGACCCCTGGCGCATCTCTTGGATCGATGGCCGCGCGTAGATCGTCTCGACGGTAATACGACCCCCCCCTGCTATGGTCGTGCCATCCCCGGTGGTTGTCATAGCTGTTGTCAACCCCTCGATACCGTGCTGGTGAGCATGGGGTTTGTGGGACCCGCAGTTCTTCCCTTTGGTCCGGATATCGCGGCGGAGCACGCGCATCGTAGTGGTCGTTGCCGTCCCCCACCCAGCGACTCGCCGCACCAGCCGGCCGCCTACCCTCCTGGCAGTAGTGACCCGGTGCCGCATCTACGGGGCCTCCATCGGCCCGTTTTGCCCGCCGTTGCTCATCGTCAGCGCAATATCTGTATGACAGTGGCGATGCTGCCCTGCCAATGGGACAGTGCGAGGCCGGCTCGCGATACGCCACTCCTCGTGATGGGCCGTTCGAGGTTTGTTGTACAGCATCGGGAGGTTCATAGCGTCCTATTTCTCTCCCACCACCCGTGTGCGCCGGTACTCGGCCGAAAATTGGCGGAAATAAGCCAGGACTGGCCATGATCGCAGCACCCGCATCAACCACAGCGGTCGTATGTACGGGCACCGCCGCCGCCACGGACACCAACCCCGCCTTCGGCTCAACGTTGACCACAGGCCCTGCCGAGCTAGTGATCTCTTTCGTAGCCCCTCTCCTCACCCTTGTCTTGGCGATTCCCCCTACCGGTGCGCGCACTGGTCTTCGCTCCACCCTTCCGCCGCTTTTCGATGACGGCGTTACTCCACCGCTCCCTCCCGGCATGGGTGCATCGGAAGCCCTGCCAGAGACCTCGCCATCTCCCTCTCGCAAGAGGGTGTCCAGGCGAGCGATAGACGCCGTCAGTCGTTCCTCCTCTTCCTCCTGCGTTGTACTCTTTGCGATTTGCCTTTTTGCCTTTTGCCGTCTGTGCAAGCCGCCGTCGCCACCCCCGACTCCTACACGCAACCCATCACAACGGCGAGAAGAAACTGGTGAGTTCGCCTTGCTGCCAGGAGCAAGGCAGGGGGGCTTGTCCTTGTGGCGGCTGTCAATGGCTTCGGGGCGCGTGGTGTCGTGGGTAAAGTTCGCTTCGATCGCACTTGGGACTTTCCCTTGGCAACCTCCCATTGATGTATCAGCATCGTACGGAGTACTGTCCTTTTGAAAGGCTGTGGAACTAGCAGAGGTTGCGCCTGCTCTGACGTGTCGAGGATCTGCAGGCAGCATGGTGCTGGTGTTAGCGGCTGCGCACTTTCTTCGCGCGAGCTCCATGGCTTCCTCCTGTTTATGAGGTGGACAGAGCGGCCGAGATTGGACATGCACATGTGGCCCCGAGGAGATACTTCAACACTGCCTCGCACGTTTTCGCGCGTATCACGAACGCCGGTGCTGACATTCATTCGTCCGAGACATTGAGCTCTGCCAAGACGACTGACAATCGGGCGCACCGGCACGTGTACTTCTCAGCGGCAACATTCAAGCTCGGCACATGTACAATGTAACCGGCGGCAGCAACGGAGACACGCTCCCTATGCAGGTGAATGGGCCCAGAGCATACCTCAAGCTTGCAAACGTATGATCTGCACCCCCCTGTACTTCATAGACTGGATCATTCTATACCTAAATGGCCTAGTGGAACACTAAACATCAACGGAGGGGTCAATCCATCCGTGCTTGCTGAGCAAGGAGCAACACGCGCTACAGCGACCTCCCCTTGAGCCACCTTCGCTTTTTTCTGGAGTTCCTCGGCATACTCCGCTCGCCGCTGCAGCAGCTTCCTCCGCTCCACTTTCACCTGGCTCTCCTTTCCCTTCCCCCATCGGGCCCGCTCGGATATCGGCGTGGATGGCCTCCCCCTGTCGGCTGCCATCGCCGCCGCCAATCGCCTCGCCGCCTCGCACCTGGCCATCGACCTCGCACGTCTACCCATGGCCGCAACGTAGCCACCACCAAATTGTCGTCCGAGATTTGTCTCTCCGCTAGCGCTGGAGAAAACGGAGCCCCCTGTACCTACGCGGTCGGCGGTGCTAGAGAGAGGAGAAGCTCGGTACGCAGATGATGACGTAAGTGCACCACCAGCAGGAGCGTCTCGCCTTCTCGATCTTGCCGAGGTCGTCCCGGGCGCCGAATGGGCGCCGCTAGCGACGGTGCCGCTACCCCACACCACCCTCTTTTCGCTACCGTTCTGGTTTCGGCCATCACCGAAGCCGCTGGTCTCTGCCGGTGACTCGAGCGCGCAGACTACGGGTGCTGCTGCCACCGCGTAACGGTTGGCATCAGCCTGCAGGCGATGAGGGTATCGACGGCTGACTCTACCTTGTATCGCGCCTGAAGCCTCTCCTTGGGGTGGCCTGCATCCTGAGGTGACGGAGGATGCCGGTGTCATTCTTGTCGTGCCATGAGTTCCGTGGGAGATTACGGAACGCTCGTCCACAGTGGCAGCCTCGGTAACTGGCGTCAGCAGATCCCACGGGAGTACCGCGGGGTCAGTGGGTGCAACACCATTGTGACTGGCGGTGGTAGCAGGGGAGCTACCGTCCTTCGCCATGCCCGGGGTAACTTTGGCCGGTAGGATGGCGGTTATCACTGCTTCCCGGCCCCAACCCGGAGCCCTCAGCCTGGAAGTATGCGGGGGTTCTCGCAGCTTGCACTTGCCATCACCGGTCGGCTTGGTCGTCAATTTTCTTGAAGGTACTGTCGGTGGACTCTGTACGGCGCGTTCTGGACGTAGAATAGCGACCCTTTCCGTTGCGTGATTTGGTAGCCTTCTCGTTATAGGCTCAGTTGTCTCCTCTGGCACGACCTTAACCAGTGGCCTGTCTCGACGTGGAGGGGGCGCGTCGCCCGATGTCGCAGTGAATCGCCCCGAATGAGTTTCTACTGTGAGCGCCGCCATGGTCGAAAAATTCTGGTCGTTAAGTACATGATCTCGATTTCGGATCTTGGTATTTTCGGGGCCCTTGTCCGGAGACCGTACTTTTGGGGGGGTGATGACTTCCGTACCAGGAGCAAATCGAGCTGTCGCTGGGATGGCCGGGGCACCAATCTCGTCAGATCGCCCACCCGCCCTTGTGAGCAGGCCGCCACCGTCTTGGGATGCCCTATGGGGAGTAAGAGGTTACACCACGAGGCGACCGCAGGTGAAGGCCTACTATTGTGCGTATGGGAATGGTGATAGGCCCAAACGATAAGCGCCATCTGATGGCGATTGTAGTAAGACTTTGGCGAAGACGTACACGCGACTGACTTGACCGGCGACGACATAGGGTGTGACGCGGCGACTCTGCTTGCGGGTAAGACAAAGCGAAATAAGAGTGAAAATCACGATAGCCGGTCCCATCAGTTCCCACGTCAAGTCGTCATAAAGCCAACCGCCCTGAAGTTCATGAATCACGCTTTGTTGATGGGTGCTTACCTGGCGGAAACGTCCAGACTGTCGAATAGCTCCGACGGTCGACTCCTCGTATTCGTCGTATCGTAGTTGTTTCCTTGGCCACTACGACCCTCAACATCAGCCACATCACTCCGAGTAATCAACGTCTCTTGAGCCCCCTGTTGCTCGCCCGTGCTCTCGCGTTCACGTTCTTCGAGTGGAGCAATGTCAAGCGTTAGCGTGCCGTCCACCCTTTGATTCACGGTCCCTTCTCCTCCGTGGGAAGGAACTTTCTGCACTAACGTTGCCGGCCGCAACGTGTCTTGAGCACCCCCTTTGTTATCACCTAAAGTTTCGTCGATATCTCGTCGTCTACCGTGGTCACCAACTTCTTCAGCCTCACCAACCCCTGGTTGAGCTCCGCCCTTCCATGGTTGCTGGGTACGTGCACTGGCAAAGCTCGTAGCTTGTTGGGCTGGTAATAACGCGTCGTTCACATTCACCGGTTTTGGTGAAACAGCAGTCGGAACTTCGCCTGTCGCGCCATTGGGCAGTCTGTTTCTCAGATCTTGCAGCTGATTCCTGGAGGTGAGCGAAGCACGACAGGTAGTTGGAGCCCGCACAACATGGTGTTTCAGGTTGTTGAGTTCGGCACCCATGAGGACGATGACCAATACTGCAGGTGTCCCGACATGGTGCCGGGTGAATAGTGCCAAAATCCGGTATAGTGCCCGTATTTTTTCTGGACACAGCGAAAGGTCTCCATAATGCTAAATTGAGGGCTCCCACTACAGGGTCGGTTCAGGCACCATCGTACCCCTCAGTAGTGCTGGTTCAGACCGCACACACAGCCTTCGAGCTAGCTCGTTTTTAGAGACGGTTTACCTGGTGCAGAGACGGTTCACCTTCGAGCTAGCTCGTTTTCTGTCGGTACCAACTCGTGCAGTGTTCAAACGTCATGGTTTACTGATCAACCAAATTCCACCACAGGTTGGGATTTCAGTAGTAGTGAGGCGGGCGAAAGGCAAGAAGGTGGTAGTGACGAAGGAGGTGGAAAGGGAAGAAGAGAGAGACATTAGCGGTGATGATAGAGGAGGAAAATTCGGCGTTGAAGAGAGCAAGAGTTTCGAGCCAGATGGACTTCCTCACAACAAATGCCGCAGGAACAGAGATGAACACCCGAAAGTGGAAACATTAGTGAAGGGAGTAAGGGTGGTAATTACAAGGAAAACGATTAAAGAAATCCCAAACGAATGTGTGCACAAAGCAGCAGCATTGGTAGACACGTGCAGTATTCTGTTGCTATCGGTTCTGTCTTTAATCCGGAAAATAGTTTAGCCTCCCTCATGGCACCCCCTCACGGGATCCCACATCTTGGCTTGAGAAGCGTTTTTTTATTATCTGTTTTAAACCGCATTGAGACTGACGTGTTTTCCTTGGTCAGCCGGTTGTCGCGGTCGATGGTAAGACACACACAGAGACACAGATGCCATACACACGAATCACACAACCGGTAGCGTGCACGAGCTGCTGCTGAAGGCCCCATGCAAACCAGCCCTATGCAGAGGGCCGAGGGGTAGATCAGCATAGTTACAGCGGTTTCATAGCGAATTTTTTAGCGGTCGTTTTTCTTGCTTCTGAAGGATTGATTTATTCTTCACTCCTTTGGGTTGCATATTATTTTTTGTTTTGTTTTATGTAAGGAGGTCTACGTCCATGTCGTCCTTCAACTGCCCGTACATCGGGTGCGTGCATGAGCGTCTTTCTTTCGCTATCGAGGGGTGCCTTTGAGGTTGCCTGAATGGTGCTACGGCCCTCTTGCCACTACACCATTTAATTGCGAGGTGCCCTTTGAATGGGCAGCACGGTCTACGGTTTGAATGCAGCGGCAACGTTTCACTAACTTGGTGCGTGCGCTGAGGCCGGAAGAAAACAACGGTGCAACACATAATGTATTATCTGGTCAAGTTAGTATTGATGTGACGAATGAATGGAGTCTCACGAAACATGACGAAACTCGCCAACGTCGCCCACCTCACAATTGATCCGCATACCGTTCGTTTAGCGCTCTGTCAGCCCCGTAAGCATAAGCTCTGCATTCTGAGATCGAGTACTCGTCAATAATGGGCACTATCGAGGGATGTTGAGACCCTGAATAGTGCCGGCTTGGCTTACTGTGCTGAAAATATTGCCGGTGGCCGGTATAGTGCCGGTCTGACGTCTGGGCACATACCGGCACTATATCGGGGTTCCTAATGCTCCACTTGACAAACTGCGATTCTCGGCTTCAGTAACCACAGACTCACAAGTTGGCACGCGTAGAGCGGGGTGAGGATTGATGTAGAAACGCGTAGGTCTAGCGTGTGTTGCTCTAGTGTGGAGCTCGCCCACATCAAACACCGTTCTTTAGAAAATGGCACGACGTACTTGACTTTGGCCCGTCTGTGTCCATCCCTCGGGTCGCCCACGACCTCACTGCGTTGTAGCGGAAGGATATCTCCAAACCATTCTTCTGTCGATGGCGCGGCCGCATCCTCCGCCAAACCACTAACTTTCCCCTCCTGTGTATCAGGAGGTCTTCTATCTCCAGGCTCGCCTGAACCTCGAGGGGTAACATCGTCCCTGCTCGACTTGCCAAGTAGTTCGTTGTCGTTCGCAGTGGGATGCAGCAAGCCTTCTTGTTGGTGCTGGTGCTGCGGGCTATCCTTGAGCGATTCGGCGTCTGCTTGCCTGAGTCTCGGGTGGTGCGCATCTCGACCTTCCGCGCTTCGAGTTACCTGGAGCCCGTTTTCTACCAAGCGGCTGCACTCTAGGCTATCGGAAGAAATTCTCCTGGAAAACGTCGAAAATGACGTCAAGAGAAAATAGACCGTCTGTTAGTGTTCTGAAGTATGGACTATTTGTACGTGATTTGCGAGTAAGAGCTTCGTTCTGCTGCTACCACAGATGGACCAAACATGATCGAAGTGGAACTCGCCATCGACGACCAGCTTTCCCCTTGCACATTTCCGGGCATGATGATGCAAAGGATGCCTGCCTACCGTTTGAGGAGAAAGGACGCTATCGCCCACACCCGTTCAGAGCTCCAAACCATCTTCATCCTATCTCCACGAACCTTCTCGCCACATTACGTGGGTACAGGCCACACAGTAGTTGAATAACGGTGCTTCCGCTAGTCGACCCTCGCCGCACCTGATAGTGCTGTTGCTGTCTTCGCCGCAGCCGTGCCCCTGCTTCTCCATTTCGTCGACCATTTCGCTGGTCGTTTTCGTCTCCGCTCCTTCCAGCCGCCCGTGGTTGTCGTGAGGTGCCGACCCTTCGACTAAGATGTTCGGGTGGGCATAACGAAAATCCTTGTCCCGCGGAACTACTCTTGACCGATATTCCTGAGCGTAACAGGGGCACGGGCAAGGCACGGGCAAGGCACACATGCGCATATATGTCACGTGGGTGTCGTCATCCTCTATCTGCGCCGCAATCGACCCGCAAGCGTGTTTTCGCTTGATTCTTAACAAGGTGCAAGGAGAGGGCATCTGGAAGATGAAAGACCAAGAGACTGGGTGCTACACCACCTGAAAGTATGAATGCTGGTCTTGCCAGCCCCCGTGGGCAGGTGCCGTGATGGTGGCACCGGCGGAGACTGTGATATCACTCGTTGCCGCCTGGGGCGTGATTTCCTCGCTTGATGAGCCCAGCCACCTATCCTTGATGGCCCTCAGCTCTGGCGGCAAGTTGGCCCACCTGCGGCACGGTTCACGGTAGTAGTCCACCACGGATGATTGCAGCATAGAAAGTATTTACCAAAACCATTGTATATAGATATTCGGCACGAACGCTTTGCTGCATCGGACTCACGAGGATAATGTTGTGGCTCCCATCATACAAGACTCTACCGTGAGCAGCGGTAAGGTGCTGACGTCCACAAAGAGTAGGCATTGAAATTTTTGTACGTATGTTGTTGTTAAACGAAACGCGCAAACGTTGGATCCCATGACACCACCGGCACTCCTGATGGGCATGATACAGGTTGTGAGTTCCCTCTCGAATGTTGAGACAAATCACTGTCATCCTGGGCCGACAGTGGGGATGGTGTGCTACGAAGGAGAGTAGACGATAGCCTGCTGAACACACCTTCACTCGTCATTCTTACACTGAAAAATCAGTAACGAGCGTCCGGATATAGTCGAAATCATGCTACGAACGCGATGAAAGTAGTGGAACCGAGAAACAACGTCTTACAGCAGTATAGACGAATGTTTCGTGCGCTCGCATCCGGCAGGGTCACTTTGTACCGTCGTGCTGCCTCAGGCATTGCTGCCCTCAACCAACACGCCAAACTAACCTTCCACCTCGTGACTGCTCCCTCGAGTCCCAACCGGCAACGTCACCCCCCTCAACGCCAACATCGCTGCTGACAAGATAACTTCGATCGATCACCGCCGTCAACTTCGGCGATATCGTCTCCCCTCGACCAGCTGCCTCATGCCGCGTCCATGCGCTGATGCCCGTCATCTCTGCGACATCTTCCCATTCCTCCAGTGCACAGACGCCGCCGACAGAGTTGCTAGGGCTCCAGTTAACGTTGGCGTTCCCCTTCCTCGTGCTGGTGAGCTTGGCAGGTCTCGTTGCCGATTGTCCAGTTCCGGATATGACCGGGGTGCCGCCACGGTTTTTCTGCTCCCACGGTTGCGCCGGTTTTTGGACGGTGCTGTCTCCTACAGGGGCGGGGCTCCCTTGTTTGCGCCAGCTACGGATGTTTTTCCGAACAGAGCGGGCGTACTCCTGTTGAAATTGCAAACATGTACGAATAATGTTCAAAATGTTTGTTAAGGTCCTCGCTTGCGAGAAGCGAGCTTAACAGTACGCAATCGTGTTCCGATTACTTCTCTGCTGCATGCCGCTGGTCAGCACAGAGCGCCCATGGTCGCCCCGTTAGTCTAGTGGATAACCTCTCAAACCTACTGTACTTCATGGTAAAAATTCGATTTTCGCTGTGGAGGGTCTTCTTTGCCTGCAACTTGCAGTGAAAAGGACTAATTTCGTGAGTAAACACACTTCGACTTCACGGTTGACGACGGAAAGAGGCAGCTGAACCCTTCTCGCGATAAAAACTAAGGCCAGTACCGCAGGAGGAAAGGTGGGGCCACAACAAAGGAAGCTCCAGCGTCACCTTCCTCCTGGGTGGTCCCGGCTGATACGTCAAACATATGCACCGAGAAGTGTGTAGACTGGTGCCAGAAAAAATGTGACGAAACGCACATGGTTTGTTGAGGTTCGTATTTTGTTCTGTACAACACGTATCTACAGACACAACGATCAACATTCACGCTCGTGCTCCAACAAGACCGTCGCTCTGCTTCTCCGGTATAAGGTATGAGCACGCTCCGCAGCAACCGTGTTAGAGGTAGGGCTCCACGTCGACATTGTTAGCTGAACACAAGAAAGCCTAGATGCTGTGATACGAAACATGGAGACACTGGATCGCGGAAAAAGCGGTTGTTGCATTCAAACTTGCCAGCAACGGCATCAACCGACAGCAACAACAAAACAACTTTTCGAACATCATCAACATCAACACCAACGCCTTCGTTATGCGACGACTATTAAGGATGATGTAACACTTATGACCGTACCTGTTGCTCGTGCTGCCGCTTCGATAGGGCAAGACGGTACTTCTCCTCCTCTGCTTCCTCGTTCAGTTTAGCGCGTAGGATGTGGGCCCTTCACAAAGCATGCAGCAGCGAATCAGATGCGACGGGGCTAGTGAGTGATCTACGCTACGCACGTCTGTAACATGTGTCCTCATCGGGAGTATGTATGTGGCACGTACCCTGTGCTACTTTGCCTTAGGAGGGCCACACAGGAAACCAAACGCTAGAGAGGGGATCCCGCAACACTGACTGAGGATGTTATGAGCACCTACTAGCCTTTCGATTGTGCTATGCCCGAGACAAGCAGCAGACACGGCCTTCTTTAATGCCTAATAGCACCTGACGGAAACACCTAAAACCTCCACGCTTTTAGTCAGCACCGGGTCAACGTCGGAATTGTTTCTTTTAGCGCGTGGATATTGAAGGTGAATGAAATCGCGATATTGTGTTGGCTTGGTCCCATGACACCCCGCCTCACCACAAAAAGTAAGGAAATTCAAGGGCGCGACATTTGGGGGGCAATCTGCACATTGTCGCACAAGGGTCGCCCGTTAATGAAACAGATACTACCCCTTCGGCTAGCTGGAACAGAGTGTTCATACGATTTGCTTCTTCTCTCGGTTGGTGATCTCGCGTTCTTCCGTTGTTGTCTATTGTTTGGGCTCGTTTTTGGGCTCGCGTGCCGAGCGGGAGCGATGAGCTCTATTAACGTAGTTGCACATGCATATACAGTCGTGGGCCCGGTTTAGCGGTCCATAGTGTCACGAATTTTTATAACCGCTATTCAGGGCATCGCCGCTAAACCACTTTAGCGGTCATTATCCGCTTAACCAGGAGGCTTAATAGCGGTCATGAACCGCTAAACCGGGAAAAAGCCCATTTTTGCCCTACAATAACAGCGTGGAGAGCTGATATTGATAGGGCCATGCGTATCATTGCAGCAGTCATATGAAGGTGCAGATGAAGAAGTAACGAGCCCATGAAGGACAACGCCGCAAGCACATTCATTAATGATGCATTTAAATTCGCCAAAGCACGAAGATTATTCTCCCTTCTGGACTGTATGCCCCTCATCAAGACTGGAAAATCGTTCGCGTCTCTAACGAAGTGAAGTAGGTGATGAGACAAACTTGTGACAACGCAATGGCAATCAACCACGTGCTTGAGCATCTCATTTCTGACATGTGTCGCGTATCGATCATTCTTCACCCAAAGCAATCTCTCTGGTATCTGCCTTGCGCGCTGGAAGAGCGGCGTGCGCTGCGAGGAACGCCATTTTTGCCTTGCGAAATAGTGTGCTGCTTCGCTTACGCCACACGACTCCGCGCTCTCCACGCTGGCCAAAATCCGATGATACCTCCGAGTGTGGTGGCGGCGACATCACCCCCCTGCCCTTCGCTCCGTCAAATTGTGCGGTGGTATCTAGCCCTAGCTCTAGGTCGTTGTGTCGTCGTCGGAGGGGTTAGGCCCCCCTCCATGTACATACCGGACAACTTTCAACAACCTCGTCATTCGCACCCTTTACGCAAAGCTTCGGCGATCTCTTCCTGTGCGCACTATTTCTGCGTGCGCTACCTTCTGGTCAAGAAGCTTCAAAACCTCGAGATTCTAGCCAAAGTAGAGCCGCGTGTGGGACTGTTGTCGTGTAGCTGCAGCGCGAGTTGTTTCTTTCCGCGCGCCTGGTGCTAGAAAGCCACCTAACACCTCTTGGCGCTTGGGCGGAGTTGAGAAGTGAGGGTACCTCTGCGCCTTCTTGGTTGTACGTCGGTTGCATCTCGTTCTCATCCGGAACCTCCACCTCCCCACACACATGCCGTATATCTGGCCACCACAGCAACCTTTACAGTCATGCGCGCCGCTTGGACTCGTGCCGCATCTAGAAGCTTGCACAGTTCTCCATCCATGCGCCGCATGGTGTTTTAGCATCGACCGCGCTAACCGGCTCGAGTTCGTATTGGAGTGTTTTCACCATCATCCTCCTTGCATTCACCACCATCACTCTCACCGTCGTTTCGTCAGCTATTTTTCGGCAATTCTTCTCTGGCCCTGCGTCGTTTGGTGTATGTGTGTGTGTCTCGCTGTGTCCTTTTTATTATGAGCATCGACCAGCTAACAGGCTGAGCAAGTCGCTGTGCTGTGAGTATGTGCAAGCGAAGCGCGCACTACATGCAGGTCCCCGCAAAAATTGAACCGATAACCGCTATTAGTGGCTGCAAACATGTCCAATAACCGCTATTGAGGGCACGGCCGGTTCAGCGGTTGTATCACCGCTAAACCGGGGTGCAGCCGTGTCACGAAATTTTATAACCGCTATTCAGGGCATCCCGCTAAACAGGGAACCGCTAAACCGGGCCCACGACTGTACAGTAGACTATATATGAATAGTCTACATCTCCTTTTTTTTGGCCGATGTGTCACGAGCGACGGCTGACTGTTGTCTGGCCTATCTCCGACCGCGTTTGGTTGTATGCATATATGTCCAGGTTGTAACCTATGGGCTGTGACCACGTAAGACGACTGTGACCACGTAAGTCGTCACGGATTGTTAGAGAAAAATACTGAGCAGCGACAAAACTGCGGTCTCACCAGCGCAAGTTATTGGTCGACGTCTCGGTTTCGAATTTGATTTTGGCATACGATTTCCGTACGTGAGAGCTCCGCCGGTACTGCGGCACCTATGCGTCCTACTGTACATAGTATTGGCCTCAATATTCGTGACGGCTGGCAAGTACACCGCCGTCTACCATCGTTAGGACCGATGAAGCAGGAAACATATCTCAAAGGTTTAGATAATTTTCCATCGTCGTCGTGCATGTCTGTTTTCCATCTTTCCGCGGCCGCCGTGGCCATTTCTATGCAACATATCCCTCTCTGCCTCAGAGTAGTGTCGTCATGAGACTTTGTACGACGATACCGCATCGGTATACGGAATGCGCGAGCGCTCATTGGACTATGGATCGTTGCCCGCTACGTTTCCGGGCAGATCTATATGTAGATAGATCTAGCTAGATGTGGGGGTGCGCTCTTGCCTGACAATATTATTATTGTCTACGGCTGTTTTCTGCGTGCCCTGTGAGAACGCCATCTTCGATCAGATTGTCCCCTGTTCTACATATATACTGCTGTAGTACTAGAGCAGTACTGCTGAAAGAAGGGAAGATGCGGCCAGCTTCGTCTACGACCTGTTGGTGGTAAGACACTGAGTTCTACTGTACTTACGCCTCTTCGCTCTCACTTGATGATTCAATTTCCACAGTACAACTCTCTACAGGATTGGTTGTGCCTGATAGCCCCCCGGGGTTGCACTTCCGAGAGCCCGTACAACATTTACTATTTCGTTGTGTAGTAGAGAGGAGACTGCTACGGCCGGTGTCCTGGAGGGTTGCACCAACCAGACAACGCCACCCCTCACCTTCTTCTATTGCTGGCCTCCAGCCGGATACGCCTCTCTTTTTCGACGACTACTGCTGTTCCAGCCATAGCGCCAGCAGAAGGATACTCCCGCGTGCTTGGCGCCTTGTCACGATACCCAGATACCATGCTACCAACGGAGTTATCCTAGGATACTCATAACATACGCGTCGTTTGTCGTGTGCACATGCCCGTTCATGCCAAGGTGCGAGGAAGGCGGCTGGTCAGGATTCGGTCGGAAACCCCGACAAATCCTACAAATGTCAATCAAATAGGATAGGGCAGCACCGTACGGCAACAAGATGACACCAGCAACAAACTGCGGCAGGGTCTTGGCTACGTAGACGAGAGAGACGCGAGCAGGTACAGCAACCTACACCATCTCTGCTTGCTCATCAAACGCTATCAACAGCCAGCCTCAACTCCGTGGCGGAGTGTGCGCGCGCGCGGATCTTTTAGCTTTATTTTATTTAGCCCGTTATTCATCATCGATTCATCATAATAATAATGGAAGTGGACCTGGCGGTACCTGTAAAAAAATTCCGGGGCGCGGGCGCAAAAAAAACTTTCCCGTCAACTTTTTCGAACGGAGGAAAAATTCGGGCCCCGTACAGCTGAGCATCGCCATGCCGTGTCGCTGCCGTCGCACACTCAGACATCAGTTGATTGATCTCTCCCATTTCCCTCTACGACCTCTATCTACGAGGTTGGCTCCCCCATAGCTCCATCAGTGACGTTGACGGTTGTCGAAGAGTCGAGAGTCCACATAGAATTCCGACCAGAAGGAACCGAACGGATGTACGTATGTAGGTATGCAAGGCGGACATATATATCGGTCAATAAGAGGAGAGCGACTTTCCCGACAAGCGAAGTTAATACGAGGTGCCATGAGTATTTTTCTGGAATTTTCATCTACATACAGATAAGATGAAGATTCATCTGACAATAGAAGGTTGTACCCTCTTTGGCGTATCAGAATTGGCATCGATGTGCGCGCGGGGCGTATCTTTTTCTGGCTCGGTATGTATACATTTTTCCAGTCAACGCGTTCGTCGGATGAGCCGCATTGCCTCTTTTCTGGCTCTCTAGTTGCCTAACGCGGGAGGACTTTGAACCGTTGTTCCGACCAAAAGCAGAACTTGGTAAAAGACAAACATCCAAGTTGTAAATCATTTTGTCTGGGAAAAGCTGGATTCCAAGAAGGTAGGCGTGTCCCCCGACAACCCAAGCTTCTCATCATTTTGGCTGCAACGGTACTGACCCCAAACCCTCCTTCTCGAACACACTACCACTCTCGTCTCTACCCAACGGCCGAACCGAGCACGGATTGACAACGACTCTCGCGGCTACTGCTGTTGCACACTTACACTTGGTTATAGGCTCTCTCTCCCATACTGGTCCGCTCGGTACTGTCGCATCACACCGGAGCCAACAGAGAACGCAAGCAGCAGCGGTTTTTAGGGAGACGCTGAACAGCAGTTCAAGGTGAGCAAGGGGATCGTGCTGCCTGCTCAGATCAAGAGGAATTCCTATACCACAGCAGCACACTCAGCTTCTAGTGAAGCTCTCTCTCTCTCTCACTCTGTCGCTGCTGCAGCAGACATCGATCGGTCACCCCGCCGACCGTCGATACTTTTCTTCCGCACTCAAGAGGTTCAGTCGGCCTTTTCTCCTTCGATGAGGTAGCGTGCCGTACGTTCGTACTCTCTATACTGCGTAGAAGCTGTGCCTCTTGCGGTTTCTTTGTCTCCCTTTGTCCTCCGTTCTCTCTGCAAGGAACCCCTTTTGCTGGATGACTTCAACTATTGCTTCTGCTGAGTCCGCAAAAGGAGGTCAAACCTTGGATCAGAGGATCGGGCTCGTGTAAAACTTGCTCGATGAATTCACCACGTCGTACATGCAAACACAATCGTTAAGAGCGGAGGTTGCTCGGTGCAAAGGTCCCAGTATCTATATGAGCATCGCTGTTTTGGCGCCGGGCCGCCACCACTAATGCTATTACCCCACATACACGGTGACATACGACGACTCTTGATTTGATGTCACGTACGTACAACTGCTGTACATACATCCGCATTTTTGTCGAACCTGTCCGTTACTGCTGTGGATTTTGTGGCATGCAATATGGGTGAGAGACAGCACAGCAAGTCATGGGCCTTTACCGTCCGCATCAGCTTCGAATCTATGCATGTACAGCACGTCTCTTCTAGGCACACGTACAAATAGCTGCATACAGATTACTGCTGGAATGTAGTCGGGAAAGAACGTGAGTGTAGTGCAGTCTACTACCCAAGTAGACTTGAACGCTGTAGATGCCACGTTTGAAACGTGTTCGTGGCAACATGACGCGCGTCCTGTCTGTCTTGCGTTGGTGAGGATGGTTGTACCAGTGGCCACGTTGCTCTCTCCTATCTCTCTACCTCGCTTCCCACGCACTCCCAAGCCAAACCCACGGCGGTTGATGCGCAGGGCCGATAAGATTCATCGACACACACGCAGCAATTTCTCATGCCAATCCCCCGCGGGTCTGGACTGAGTTGGTGCTCTCTTCCTGCCTTGTCCGCTTTCCGTTTTACTGCATTCTACAGCACAGCCTCTTGAATACGCAGCACACAAGCATGGTGCCACCCAGGAACAAGCAGCAGAGCACCACCATCGGCTTCGACGGGTTCTCCCAGCGGTCCTCTTGCGAGAGGTCGTCGACGTCAACATGCGGGGTTGGCGACGTGATTCTAGAGTTTTGCACTCCCGGCGCTCGATCCCCGATAGACTTCGTCGACGCAACAACGGCGGCGGCGGCATCCTGCCGCGGGAGGCCTTGCGGGGGAAACACCACCTGCTACGCACACGGCAGTAGCAGAGATGTGCGGCCACCGGTCTTGTTGCGACAGCAGTCGGCGCCGGCATCGTCGACGGCACGACCGTCGGCCGAGGCCAGCGTCTACACGGGCAAGCACCACCGCAGGACGTCGACGCCGCCGCTGGACGGCGCGCGTCTGACGCTGCTGGGCGTGTCCAAGGCGCTCAACACTCCCGTCCAGGACAACTGGGAGGTGGCCCGGGCGTTGCTGGAGTCCAACACCGACCTCCGGACAAGAAACGACCGCGGGATGACCCCTCTGCACTTGGCATGTTCAACTGGAGAGGTGCGTGTATTCTTGGCTGGCAGCGTTGTGCCTACTACTGTATGTGAGTAAATTCTTGACACCTTTGATTGACTTTCAGTAAGACTCCTGCTGTCCACTTGCAAGGACAAAATGGTGTTGGGGATTCCACGTGGGTGTGCTCTGGATGGTCGTAGGAGTAGGTGGCGCTCAGCGTGCTTTTTTGTCACGCCGCCGTGCTCGGGTAGAGCATCCGTCAACATGACATGTCGGACAAATAAATACCCAAACACATTCATGTCTCTCCGTGTGGCATTTGTTGAGGCCAAGGACCGCAGGCAGCAATGTACTACAGCAGTCTGTTGAAGTGATCTAACGTAGCATGTCCCCGGGATTGGTGGGTGTTGCAATCGTCTCAGGTGGACGCGGCGAAGGTGCTGCTTCTCGCCGGCGCGGACTCCCACGCGAGAGACCACAGGTCTCGGTGCCCGCTGCACATGGCGGCCTTGTCGGGAAAGTCGGAGTTGGTGTCCTCCCTGCTCACGTGCGGTGCGGACCCCAACAAGGCGTCCGACCTCGGCACGACGGCACTCCACAACGCGGTAAGATGTCGGAGCGAGCGGTTGTATTAGCCGGCCGTGGGGCCACCACAACAACGCCATTACGCGACGAGCAATGGGATTAGGCATGCATGCACGTGTTTGCCCCCCCCCCTCCCCCAATGTCCCGGAAAAAAATCTTCGTCAATCACCCGTTTATCCGACACATTTGTCTTTGAAGTCCAGCTCGTATATGCCCGAACAGGAAGCAAACAAAGTAGAACCATTCGTAACCGCACCACGTACAAACACCGATGCGCGGGGTGGCGCACTTGGTGGAGCATGGGAGTTTTACTTTGCGCCTTTTGTCTTTTGACGCTCCTCCCCCCCCCCCCCCCCCCCCCC